GTGGTCCGCCTACCTCAGCCTGCCAAAGTGCTGGAATTACAGGTGTGAGCCGCCACGCCCAGCTGAGCCCTGTGATATTTCTCCAGATTCGTGGGGGGGCACCTCCTTCCTGCATGTGCGCATGCATGCATATTTGTGTGTGTTTGGTGTCAAAATTAGTATATTTACCTTCTTCAGCAATGAGCAACCTTTTCTCAGAAGTGCTCTATGGCAGTTGTCCACTTCTGGGGGTGATTATGCCATTCTCTCTGCCAGATGGTGACATCTGGGAATGTCTGGGGGTGGGTTCTAGCGTCTAGTGGGCAGAGACCAGGGATGCTGCTACGCAGTGCACCAGCCAGCGCCACACCGAAGAATGACCCAGCCCCACATGTCAGTAGTGTCGTGGTCCAGAACCCCTGCCCTGTGGGGAGCACTTCCGCATGGGTTAGTTCCTCCAGCAGTTAGCCTGCAAGATGGAGGCACACTTGTCCCAGGCCCCCTTTGCTTTGTGCAATGGTCGGACAGGATTCCAGGGCTGGATTGTAGAAGGCATCCGAGGATGGGGAATGAGTGGTGGACCTCACCAGCACATGGGTGCTGGGACTGTGGCTGTGAGTGGTGGCTGTGCTGCTGCAGGTGCCGTGCCCCTCCTGGCAGGCACAGGGCCTTACTTCTTGTGTCACAGGTGTCACAAATGGTGTGGCCTGCAGGAGTGACCTGGCCAAGGCCCTGCTGTTTGTCAGATCTGGGGCCAAGACCAGGCCTTGATTCCAGAAATGAGTCACCTTGAGAAGGGCTTGTAAATGGCAAAAACTCTGTGGCCTTGTAGCTGCCAAGGCTGCAGTGGGAACATGGAGAATTACGTTGTCTTTGTGACAGCATCATGTTGATAACAGCGACATGTATTGAGTGCTTACCTGCAGCAGGGCTATTTACATTAGCATGCCTTTTAATCCTCACAAGTCGTCTGTGAGGTCGCTGTCATTATCATCTCGTTTTTACAGATGGAGAAATCGAAGTTAAGTACTTAGCAATGGTCATATGGCCTGCCAGTCAGTGGCAGGCGGTAGGGCTGGGGGCTGAACCCAAGTGTTCTGACCCCAGAGTCCAAGATCCTCAGCACCAGTCTAGTTATCATTCTAAATACTAACTCTAAATCTGAAACATTTCCCAGCTAACCCTGAAAGGAAACTCATCGCCGGGGGCTTTTGTCTGCATACCCCTTACCACCTGGCACTGTAACTGCTGGACTGTGCGTCGGCCTCTTCTGGAAGCTGGGCATGTTGCCTTCTTCTGTACAATGCTCACAGCCTAGCACATTTTTGACGTGTTTAAGCAGTTTGGCTCCCGAGTCTGTGCTCTCAACTACTACCTAAACAGAGTGCTTTTTAAAAATAACAGAAGCAGGACAAGCCATTTGTGGGGATGTACTCTAAATAAGGCCTGGAAATTCAATTTATAGCCCATGCACTAAAACAGGATTCCACATGATGCAGAGGATGGCCTCTCCCGCCTGCACCTCCAGCCCTTCCTTCGCCTTCCAAGGCCCTGCCAGGGCTGCGGGTCAGAGCGTCGTCACCTTTCAGCCACAGGAATTCGCCTCCTTCTGGAATCAAACTTTCACTTTTCTGCCTGCTCCGCAGGGCTTGGATGAAGGGGAGGCAAGGCAGGGACGGGTGGGGGGATGTTTAAATCTGAGGTGGTGCAAGTTCAGGGTAAGAAATGGAGAGTGAGTGTCGGTTACCTTTTGCATTCCCTGAGACTTGCTTGCCTCACCCTATTCTTGACCTTCCTAAGTGCTGAGCAAGCACGCCATTGTGTGCTCTGGGGTCCCCAAGGCTCCCCATTCCCTGCAGAAAGAAGCAGGACTGCAAGTCATTGACATGGTTAGGGAAGGAGGAAGAAAAAGCCAAAGGAGGGAGAGACAAGTGCAGGAGTCTCGCAGGCACAGGCCCATCCAGAACCGCCGTGGGGCGCAAAGCTGCTTTGTGATAACTGGATCTGCCTACATGTCCCTAGTGGCCAGAAACACTGCCCAGCACTGCCCCATGAAGTGTTCCTATGCGTCTGTTGGGTCTGTTCCCACTGGGTCAGGTCATCTGAGCAACTGTGCTCTGTGTAGCTACAGAATCCACCTGCACCTCTGGCTTCAACTAGTGTTACTGGCCTCAACTAGCCTGGCCTCTCCTTGACCGCAACTAGTCCCTCATTAGCCTCAGATAGCCCACCTGGCCTCGTCTAGTTCCTCCTGGCCTCAGTTATCCACGCCTTAGCCTGATCTAGCTCCCTGCTCTTTATGGCTTTTCACAGCCCTGACTTGCCCCCTGGATGGCCTGCCTTGTTTATTTATTCATTCTCTTGCCTTTACCTCCGCCTTGGACATTCCTTCATCCCCAAAGCTCTTCTCTTTGCTTCTTTTCCAGTGCACAGTGCCCTCCCTCACTGCCTTGTCTCGCAGGATGAGGGAACAGGATAACACTCAATGAACCCCTACAGCAGGGCCAGGCACCGAGCCAGGGACTTTGCAGAGATGAGCTCAGTGCATCTTCGACAACCACACCAGGCAGGAGGTAGCCTTCCTTCCATTGTACAGATGTGGAGATTGAGACCCAGAAAAGCTAAGAAACCTGTGCAAGATTATAGTTTTAGGAAATAAGAGACATTTCAGCTCCATTCTATCTGTTCCCACAGTCCAGGATCCCTCCCACCCCATGGCCTCCCTCAGTAGAAGCACTGACCCCAAGGCCCAGTGCACACCATCAACATGTGTGGTCAAGTGCATGGAGGAAGAGCCTGAGCTGGGTATGCCTGCTGTGAGATTAGTCACTGGTAAGCCTAGTGGTTGGTCTGCTGTGACCTGAGAGAACTCACCAGTGCAGGCCAGCCACCCCGTCAGAAAATAACAAGAAACTAGATTGCCTGCACCTAGACTCAACCTCCCAGTGCGTTCCCTGGGTGGTTCAGATTTCCCAAAATGGGACCTTTGTGGGAGGGAGTGTCTGTGGGGGTGAGGCCACACATTTGCATTATAAAGGATCTCTGTCGGAGTGAAGGCTGGGAGCTGAGTTTGCTGCCTTGCAGAAAGCTTCTGGGCCTTCCCATAGCTGGGTCTCCATGGAAATTTGTTTGCCAAGAGAAAGGAGCTATTTTAAGGACATGCAAAGATGAGAACCTGGTAGGCTGGAACCAGGGAAGGTAGCTGTGGGAGAGAGCTTTTCTGAATGACTCACTAATTTCTCTCTTATTAGAGCGGGGAAAATGGTGTGGAAAAAGAATGGGAATCCAGGAAGGAGGAGGAGCCCATGGCTGACTCTGTCCCTGCAGGTGGCATGGGCTGCCGGCACTGCCCTCCAGGCTGCAGGCAGGTTGGAAGTGCTGGTAAGAGCACTGCTAGAGACTGTCCATCATGAGGGTAACACCTTCCTGTCAGCACAAGCTCTGCTGCTCTCAACCAGCCTTCACGGCATCACGCAGAGAAGGAAAAAATTACCTCTTAAAAGGAACAGTGGCTGTAGCAGCATCTGCAATCTCAGAGGGTGGTGGAATTCATCCTAGGAATGGAGCACTTTGATGAGGAGAGCTGGTTAATTGACCTGCCTTCTTGGTGAAGGAGCCTGGTGTGGGTGAATTACTTGGAGGTGAATTATGTAGGTGATAAGGAGGTGGGGATGGCTGGGTTCCCCCTCACCCTGCCAGGGGGGGAAATCGGGGGTTTGGAATGCCTAGAATTGTCAGGAAAGGAGAGGCAGGAGAGAGACCTGATCAAGGTGGAACCCAGATGATCATGGCAGCCAAGAGCCTAAGGAGAAAGTGGTCAGGGACTTCTCGGGGTGGGTGCAGGGATGAGAGATGGAAAAGACAAGGATGAAAATTCTTGCATTCCACAGCATTTCCTGTTCTGAGCACCAGGTGGGCCTCAGCTGTCTGACCACGTGCAATCAAAGCCAGGTCCTCACAGCAGCCTTGGGTTTGACTGTGGTGGAGGCACTGCATTTGCTCGAGTGACTAGAACCCAGAGAAGGCGAGGGGGAGCATGAGGCATGCCCCATACAGCTGCTCTCCTACCTGTATCTCCTGGGAACCCACAGAAATGCCGGGGAGCGCCTAGACATCCATCCTAAGCGGGCATGGGGCCTCGGGCTTGACATTTTCCCTGTGGCGGAGCAGATGATGGCACTTGTGTAGCATGCCAGCCCACCCCGGCAGCCAGTGGGTTCCCTAGGGACCAGGGGCACCCATGCCTGGGTCCTCAGCTCTGGTGATGGGGGCTGGGAGGCTAAAGAATGTCGGGTGTCTCCAGCTCTCTCTCCACCCTGGTCCTTGGTCTATTGAGTCAGAGGCTGGGGCCTGGGACTTAGGTCAGGTTCTACATGGACACCAGGCAGTGAGCCTGCAGGGTGGGGACACCTGAGCGGGGGTAGGGAGCCGTGGTCCCAGCAGGCACTCAGTCCTGCCCCTGCTGAGCTCCACGAGCCACTGAGGTGCGGGAGTGAACGGTTTGCTTGGAGGCTGCCAAGGCACTGCTCCAGGTCCTGCCTGGAGCCCAGGCCTGGTGTCTGTGAGCAGGAGCAGAGCCCAGGCAGCCTGAGGTGGGGCAGAGGTGCTATGGAAGTGGCCTGCACTGTGCCTCTGGGCCAGGGAACCCATGACCTGGGGAGTGCTGACATGTAGTTTTTTTGTCTCTGCAGCTTAAGCACTGAAAACTTATAAGAGCTGGGAGGAGCTTGTGGGCCGCAGGACAGCAGGTATGGAGGGGATGCTTGTGGCCTCTGGGTCGCCGCAGGGCGCTTGGAGTGCCAGGAAGATGTGTGGATGGAAGGAGGGAAGGAGTGCCGTTTACCCCTGTCCCCGGTACAGGACCAGCTTCAGACTGGCTCTATGGTGTCCCATCTGGTCAGGGCAACACCATCCATTACCACCACGAACCCTTAACTGCCTGAGTTGTGCCCTGTGTAGGCCCTGCCGTCTAGAAGGGTATCTATGGCTCCGAATGTCAAGAAAAACGCCACATACACAGCTGAGTGAGAAAGGCACAATTTATTGGTCATGCAGACTTCCACCACGGGAATGTGGGGCACATACCCTTCTGCGTTCACACATACCGCTGCATTTAGCTCCCTACATTAATTCTGCTATGTTGAAAAAGCAACATAAGGAAAGACATCACCCATCCATTCTCCTAATAACCAACGAAGCAGAGCTGAAAGACACAGAGAGAGGAAGAAAAGGCTGCACTATTTCAAGAGCCTGGAATCAAGAGGCCCACCCTCCCTGGCAGCCAGGCTGGAGAGCACGGCTTTCGGGAGCAACAGCAAAGACTCTTCTATCTGCATGATGGAATATGTGTTGGGGGGCTTGGCTTAACTGTGGCTGGTGATGGCTGCCCACCTCGAGGAGGGCACAGGGAACCTGGCACAGTCCTTGGCATCTCCAGCCCAGGCTGAGGCCAGATCTCTCCACTGGAGAGTAGGAGCTGATTTCCTGCTCCTTCCAACTAAAGAACTGAGAAGCCAGGTAGATCCCTGCTCTCAGCTCAGCGATGCCGGGACTCCCGGGCTTTAGCTAAAGCAGCTTGTGTCACTGAAGCTGGACAGAACAGGCTTCTTGTACCCTAAACAAGCTACCCAGACTCTTCAGCTCCTTAAGGCTAAGCCCTTGTCTCACTCCAGGAGGGCACTGGGCTTCTTAATGCTTTCACCCCTCCGAACACACACCATGAACTGGTGGGTTTGGGCACGTGGTTTTAAGTGGCTAGAGCCTCAGCTCTCAAGGTCATCCTGATGTGATGAATGTTCGTAAAGCACTTAGCACAGCACTTGGCACATCGTGAGTGTTCGATTCACGTGGTCATTATTATTATTAACATTATTATTATTATTTATATCTCCACCCTCGAATCGGCGCTGCAGTTCCTTTCTTCAGAATGGCGCCCTCAACAAGGCACTGGGGTCCCAAGTACCAAGAGCGAGCTGGAGACCCAGACTATTTGTTGCCTGTCTGGTGTGCGTTTTTCTTCCAGCCTCAGCACTTGGTGCCAAGTCTCACAGGCAGTGAACTCCCTGGGCCACAGAGAAGCTAGGCTCTTTCCTGAAAACACAAAGCCTTGCATAGGAAGCTGGGCAGGAGGAGCCAGCAGGAGGTCCTGGCAGAGGGTCCAGTGGCTTCGCGCTGTTCCTCTGGGCTCCCGACTCACTGGCAGCTCACTGAGGGCTTCACTGTGGGACAAGAACAGAAGGGCTGTCAGGGCTCATTCTCACCAGGCCATGTTGAACTAAGTGGCCCGGGTCCCTGCATGCTGTGGGCTAGGCCAGTCTTCCTTTAACATGTAGCTGAGAAGAGCCAGGGCTCACTGTTCTAAGTACTTTACCTAGTTATTTAAAAAAATTGCTTTTTAGAAATGGGGTCTTGGTCTTACTCTGTTGCCTAGGCGAGAGTGCAGTGGCGCAATCATAGCTCACTGCAGCCTTGAATTCTTGGGCTCTAGCTAGCCTCATGCCTCAGCCTTCCCAGTAGCTGGGACTACAGGTGCATAGCACCATGCCCAGGTAAGTACCATATATCTTTATCTATATATATGTAAAAAATATATACACATATGTAATACGTATAGCATATATATGAAATGATATGTAATGGATATCAATGTAAATACATAAATATAAATATATAATTTCTATATAGATGATAATACATGGTAATAATACAAAATAGCCTATAATGCAATTCTCCTTCTAAGGCTATGAGGTAGGTACCATTAACAGCCCCTTTTTACAGATGGGTAAACTGAGGTTCAAGGCACAGAGCTAGGAAGTGGGAGGGCTGGGATTCAAATCCAACATAGCCTGGCTCTGCAGTCTGTTCTTTTTTTTTTTTGAGATGGAGTCTCACTCTGTTGCCCAGGCTGGAGTGCAGTGTCACGATCTCGGTTCACTGCAACCTCCACCTCCTGGGTTCAAGCAATTCTCCTGTCTCAGCCTCCTGAGTAGCTGGGATTACAGGTGCACACCACAATGCCCAGCTAATTTTTGTATTTTTAGTAGAGATGGAGTTTCACCATATTGGTCAGGCTGGTCTTCAACTCCTGACCTCAGGTGACCCACCCGTCTTGGCTTCCCAAAGTGCTGGGATTACAGGCGTGAGCCACTATGCCTGGCCCAGAGTCTGTTCTTAATCACTGTTAGTCTTGCTCAAAAAATTTTTTATTTTACATGAAGGAAAGGGAAAGTGTGCTGAATTCTCCAAAATACTGGGAAATTTTCAAATATGAGTGTGAATAATAAGAATGAGGCTGGGTGTGGTGGCTTACACATGTAATCCCAGAACTTTGGGAGGCCCAGGTGGGCAGATCACCTGAGGTCAGGAGTTTGAGACCAGCCTGGTCAACATGGTGAAACCCCATTTCTACTAAAAATACAAAAATTAGCCAGGCGTGGTTGCAGGTGCCTGTAATCCCAGCTACTTGGGAGACTGAGACAGGAGAATTGCTTGAACCCAGGAGGCAGAGGTTACTGGACTCTAGCCTGGGCAACAAAGAGTGAAACTCCATTTGGTTTTTGTTTTTTTTTTTTTAATTTTTTGAGATGGAGTCTTGCTCTGTCACCAGGCTGGAGTGCAGTGGCATGATCTCGCCTCACGGCAACCTCCGCCTCCCAGGTTCAAGTGATTCCCCTGCCTCAGCCTCCCGAGTAGCTGGGACTACAGGTGCATACCACCATGCCCGGGTCAATTTTTGTATTTTAGTAGAGACGGGGTTTCATCATGTTGGCCAGGATAGTCTTGATCTCCTGACCTCATGATCCACTGTGCCTGGTGAAACTCCGTTTCAAAAAAAAAATTATAATAATAACAATGAGATATAAATGATTTAGGTTCCTTTTCTTTATGGAATCTTCTTCCTCTGGGCCTGACACTGGACTAAGAGTTTATCCACAGCCCCACCTTTCTTCCTTTCAACAACTGCTGCAGAGGCAATGCAGGGTCAGGGATGTGTGGGACAGGCAGGCCTGGGTTCAAATCCTGACTCTCCCTTTTCATGGAGCAGTTCCCAAGACCATCACTCGCATGTGAGCACATGCATGCGTGCACACATGCATGCACACACACATGCATAGGCACACACATACGCACTCACGCATGCACACGCGCACACATGCACACGAGCCCACGTGTGGCGCCCCGCACCTGCATGGCAGTCCTGCTTAGAGGCCCCGGTGGCCCCTCCTCCGGCCGGTGCTTGCCATGGTACGGGAGCTCGCTGTTGTCGCGGTAGTCGCGGCTCTTGGAGTGCTGGAGGTGCAGGACCGCCGGGCTCTTGACTGGCAGCGGCGGCCGCGGCGTCGGGGTGGGCTGGGTCTGCTGGTTCATTTCCGACCTGGAAGGCTTGATGGGCCTCTTGACTGGCACTGGGGCCTGGGAGCTGATGGCCGTCTTCGGCTTCCCTTGGCTCTTGTCCCCGCCCGCCGCCCTGCCCTCGGCAGAGGACGAGCAGGTGAAGGAGCGCAGCCGGGGCGCGGGCGCCTGCTTGCCGGGCCCCTCGCCGCGATCAGCCTCCTGGGCTTTGGTGAGCACGATGCTGGGCGACAAGATGCCGGGTTCCGGGCAGGGCGGGGGCTCCTTCCGCAGCATTTTCGGGGATTCCTGGTCCTTCCTGGGAGCAGGTTTAGGGAAGGAACTCACGGACCCGTACAGGGGGTTCTCAAACATCTCGGGCTTTGTCAGAGGCAGGTCCTCCTGAGGCAGCGTGTCTCCTGCGTTCTTCCCCAGGTCACTGGGCCTAGAGACAGGGACAGAGCAGGGAAGACACATGTTCAGGGGAGAAGACAGGGGGGCGTGACTGCTTAATGACTCTGGGTCTTTCTTTGGGGTGATAAAAATATTTCTGAACTAGTTAGAGACGTGTAACATTGTAAATGTACTGAATGCCACCAAATTGTTTTGTCTTGTTTTGTTCTAGAGACAGAGTCTTGCTCTGTCGCCCAGGTGGGAGTGCAGTGGTGTGATCATGGCTCACTGCTGCCTCAACCTCTTGGGCTCAAGCAATCCTTCCCCTCAGCCTCCCAAGTAGCTGGGACTACTTGGGAGTAGCTAGGAGTAGCTGGACGTTGTTGGGAGTAGCAATGCCACCAGGCCTGGCTAATTTTTTTGTTTTGTTTTATTTTGAAGAGATGGGGGGGGGTCTCACTATATTGCCCAGGCTGGTCTTGAACTCTTGGCCTCAAGCAATCTTCTCACTTTGGCTTCCCAAAGTGCTGGGATTACAGGCACAAGCCACTGTGCCCAGCCTAGCAAACTGTTCATTTTGAAATGGTTAATTTTTTTTTTATTTTTATTTATTTATTTTTTTTTGAGACAGAGTCTCGCTCTGTCGCCCAGGCTGGAGTGCAGTGGCCGGATCTCAGCTCACTGCAAGCTCCGCCTCCCGGGTTCGGGCCATTCTCCTGCCTCAGCCTCCTGAGTAGCTGGGACTACAGGCGCCCGCCACCTCGCCCGGCTAGTTTTTTGTATTTTTTAGTAGAGACAGGGTTTCACCGTGTTAGCCAGGATGGTCTCGATCTTCTGACCTAGTGATCCACCCGTCTCGGCCTCCCAAAGTACTGGGATTACAGGCTTGAGCCACCACGCCCGGCCTGAAATGGTTAATTTTATGTTCAGTGAATTTCACCTCAAGTAAAAAAAAGGAGGAGGAAACAGTACTGTGTTTATCATACGTTGTCCTCAAAGAGAGCCTCAGTTCTGGTCTAGGACCTTTTCCACCATAAAACCTGTTCACATCAGAGCATCTTTGAGCAAGGGGCACAGGACTGGAGGATTTGTAGGAGAAATGAAGCAAGCACTTATATGGCACCTCAGTATCAACCCCTCATCCTCAGATGAGCCTGCTCTCCACAGCCCCTCCCCACCTCCCCAGTCAACAGGCCTCCTTTCCTGGCTCCTCCCATCCCCACCCCCAGCCTCTCCTCTGACTCTAGCAATTCTGCTCCGACCCAGCATTTGCATGACTGCCCAGGAAGGCAATCACACCTCCTCCTCAGAAACCACTTGTGCTACTTGAGGGTGAAAGCTCAAGAGGCTCCATCTACCAAATTTGTGTGTGAGACACTTCCCCATGCACAGCAACACAGCCACAAACAAGGACAGAATCTGAGCTCAGGGGGCCAACATCCCAGTTAACACAGCGTCCTTCCCAGCCACATGAAGTCCTCTCCTTGGAAGGCTCTACTAACTCATAGTGGAAGGAACAGGTGGCGGTTGTGGTGCAAGTCAGAGGGAACTCGGACACTTGTGAGTACTGGGGAAACCAAGGCCAGTAGCTAGAAGAAAGGCCCAACCAACTCATGGGCAGGGGAAGCTTCTGTGTTGTGACCCAAAGTAGGTAAGCGCTGCCTTTGCTTGTTTGTGTTCTGATTTATCACTGCTCTGACTGGAGGTGATTTTCTGCTGAGCAAACTATGAGAATGAGGAATGGGAATGCATTTTACTTCCTGACCAGCAGCAGAATCTCCCAGGAGAGTGTTCTGGGATCTGCTTTCTACAAAAAAGGAAGCTACTGTGAAGAAACTGTGGATCACTGGGAACCCACTGAGGCTGTCACGCCTGTTGCTGATGGAATGTGCACTGAGAAGCTGCTCAGAGGCACTCAACAGTGACTCTTTGGGGAGCAGATGTGGGCTCAGGGGACAGAGGCAGGATGTCGTCCTCACACAGGTGCCAGTGAGATGCCACGGAGCTCCAAGGAGGCTAGCCTTAGGGACACACCAAAGGGAGCCTGACTATGCACTTGGGGGTGTTGCCCATTATTTTTTGGAAACACCTTAGAGCAGATGCATATAGAAATGCTGGGGCCTCAAACAAAGACTTTGGAAAGGTGCCCCTCCATGTGCAGCCCTCTTCTGACCCTGTGTGGACCCGCAAAGGCCGTTGCTGTGAGTTAGCCAAGGGAAGAGGGCACAGGAGGGAGTAACTGGCATGGTCACAAGTTTTCAGATGAAGGAGAAAGAAGTCCTGACCTCTGACCACCCTCTCTCAGTGGCTGAGATGGGAGGAGGGGGCTCACTTCAGAGAACTGGGGGCAGGACCAGGAAGAGAGCCCTGGGTGCAAGCCCTTTTGTGATTCCAAAGCTCACTCCTCTGGGAAAAGAGCAGCGAGATAGAGACCAGGGAAGCCTTCCCTCTAAGAGGAGGCTTCTGCTGCACGTAGAGAGGGAAGGCTTGGTGGGGGCGGACGGGGAAGACTGGGGAAAACCACAAAAAACTCAAAAGTAAGTCTTATTCTCCTGACCAAAGGTAACAAGAAATCGACTCCTATAGCAGGCCACAGTTGTTGAATAAAGGAACTGATATCCAGGGGACAGAGTTGATTCCTGCAGCAAATGACTGTACTTCTCAGATTCAGGAGACCAGAGTCTCATCTCTAAAGCAGCTAAGCACTTTCCAGGAGCTGAGAAGAGTCCCCTTCCTAACTGCACCGCTTCTGTCTGGGGTCACCAGCTGTCCTTGCTTGCGCAAGACTGAAGGGTCTCCTGAGATGTGGGGCTTTTAGTGCTAAAACTGGGACAGTACTTGGCAAACCAGAAGGTCAGTCCCTGCACTTGGGTCTGGGTGATGGTGGGGAAACACTGATGGTGCTTGTAACACCTGCTTCCACAGCCTTTGCTCTGGCTGAGCCCGGGACCTGGAGCAGCGGAAAGGGATGAGGCAGGTGTGTGAGCTGCAGGGCTCCAGGCTCCAAGCGCCTCCTTGGCGAGCAATAAGTTAGAAGCGCACCCTGGGGGCCCCTTGCCCGTGGATGGCAGCCTGTCTGCAGCTGTCGCCATGGGGCTGTGGGGAACATGCTCCCACCAAGCTGTGTGCTCATTGTTATGCAACAAGATCCATTCACTTTGGAAACTGAAAATCATTCACTTACACAAATAATCATGCTCCTTGTTCTTTCGGGTTGCTTAGAGCTCCCTTTCCTGGGGTCTCCAAAGAGGTGGCCACACAGGCACCTTGATACCCACTGAATAGTGCCTTTTGTCCTCATATTTCCAGGGCAGGAAACTGAGGTTGTTTCTCCTCCCCCCAAGTTTCTTAGGGAATGACCGGGGTCTGACATCCTATCAACACATTCTGTACAGAGGGAAAGAGAGACAGCTGAGCTGAACTCCAGGGCTCTCCTGTCCTGTCATTTTCTCTCTCTCTTCCTGACTTCCTCCCATCTATCTTTTTTTTGAGACGGAGTCTTGCTCTGTCACCCAGGCTAACGTGCAGTGGCGTGACCTCAGCTCACTGCAACCTCTGCCTCCCTAGTTCAAGCGATTCTCGTGTCTCAGCCTCCTGAGTAGCTGGGATTACGGGTGTGGGCCACCACGCCTGACTGATTTTTGTATTTTCAGTAGAGATGGGGTTTCACCATGTTGGCCAGGCTGGTCTGAAACTCCTGACCTCAAGTGATCTGCCCATCTTGGCTTCCCAAAGTGCTGGGATTACAGGCGTGAGCCACCGCGCCCAGCCTATCCGTTTTTTAGAGCATATCTCGCACATCTTGGGAAATGAGACTGTCAACAGCTCCTCCATCCAGAGGAAGGCCCCGCCGGGCCAGGCCTGGGAAGGGTGGAGCTGGAGGGAGCTGGAGGACAGTGTGTGATGGAGAACAGCCCCCCTGCTGGCTCTGCCCCATGTGGTGGACAGCACCCAAGTCCTCGTGGAGAAAAGATGAAGAAAAAAACCAGTGGTAGGGGAAGAGAGGCTGAGAGTGAACCCCTTAGGTTATGATAAACCAGCAAAGAGCCTCAAGGGAGACAGTGCTCACGCTATTTTGCCCATCTTAAATCGTTGGTAATTGGGGCTGCACTTTCATGCCTGTCTGTCATCCTGCGGCTACAAGAAACATGTAGAGCTCCCCACTTGTGTATCCATGAGGGGCCCATGGTTGGCTCTGCTCTGTTCCAGCAATACTGGAGAGCAGCTGAGCCTTTGGGAAGTGCTGACTCCGTTCCTTGGCTGCCTGGCCCGGTCTCCTATCTAGCTTCCATTCTTCTGCCTGGCCCAGTTCTAGACTCAGATCAGTTTTCTCCACCGTCCGGGGCTTCCCCAGAGTTTCAGGGCCAGGCCCCATCTCTCTGCGGGCCAGCTACTCTGCCTTTTACATCCCTAGTCCAGTTTCTAACTAAGTGTCCCCCACAGGAGAGACTAGGAAGCTGCTTATAGAACAGGGAACCTCGTGGTCGAGAAAAAAGAGGGGAACTGGAGGGTGGGAGCAGGCTCTACATGGAAACTCCCACCCTGTCCCATGGGGCCCTCTAGGGAGCGAGAGATGCCCGAAGTCTCACTAGCTCTAGAAACATTTTTTCTTTTCTTTTGAGACGGAGTCTTACTCCGTTGCCCAGGCTGGAGTGCAGTGGTGTGATCTCAGCTCACTGCAACCTCTGCCTCCCAGGTACAAGCGATTCTCCTGCCTCAGCCTCCCGAGTAACTGAGACTACAGGTGCCCGCCACCACGCCCAGCTAATTTTTTGTATTTTTACTAGAGACGGGGTTTCACCGTGTTAGCCAGGATGGTCTTGATCTCCTGACCTCGTGATCTGTCTGCCTCGGCCTCCCAAAGTGTTGGGATTACAGGCGTGAGCCACCGCACCCAGCCTTTTTTTCTTTTTTCTTTTTTTTTGAGATGAAGTCTCATTCTGTCACCTAGGCTGGAGTGCAGTAGTGCAATCTTGTCTCACTGCAACCTCTGCCTTCTGGGTTCAAGCAATTCTCCTGCCTCAGCTAGGATTACAGATGTGACCCACTGCATCTGGCTAATTTTTGTATTTTTAGTAGAGACGGGGTTTCACCATGTTGGCCAGTCTGGACTCGAACTCTTAACCTCAAGTGATCCGTCCACCTCAGCCTCCCAAAGTGCTGGGATTATAGACGTGAGCCACCATGACCGGCCAAAACTTGTTTTTTTTTGAGACGGAGTTTCGCTCTTGTTGCCCAGGGTGGAGTACAATGGTGTGATCTTGGCTCACCACAACCTCCGCCTCCCGGGTTCAAGCGATTCTCCTGCCTCAGCCTCCGGAGTAGCTGGGATTACAGGCATGCACCACCACCCCAGGCTAGTTTTATATTTTTAGTAGAAACGTGGTTTCTCTATGTTGGTCAGGCTGGTCTTGAACTCCCGATCTCAGGTGATCCACCTGCCTTGGCCTCCCAAAGTGCTGGGATTATAGGCGTGAGCCACCACATCCGGCCCAAAACCTGTTTTTTGATATGTATATAGTTTTTATAGGAGGTTCCTTTTCTTGGCAATATCTTTACAAATTTTTACCCTTTAAAAAGAAATCGAGTTGCACCAATAGGTTAGGACATGGAAGACTCCACATACATGTCTTAGGAGCGTGCTGTGTTCAGGCCCCAGGCATAAGTCATGAGCCAAGCGGACACAAATTGTGGCCCTTCTGAGGCTTCCATTCTAGGGTGAAAGCCCAGGGCGCTTTCATAAGTAGGGAGGGAGCCATCTTAATGAAGAGGATACTCACCTTGACTCCTGCGTCCTTGGGGGGAGACCCCGGTTTGCTGTCGAGGGTAAAAACTTCTTGGGTGATATGGGTGGCTGGCAGGGAGGTGTCGTAGGACTTTCTCCCCTGCAGGGCCCCAGCGGGGAGTCCTTGGGTGGCTGGTCATAGCTCCAGGCTGTGGGCTGCTGGTCAGGGGAGAAGGTCTGCTTCATGTGCAGGGGCACTGGTGGCCCAAAGGGCCCCACTCCCATGTAGTTGGGGTTGAGGATTTCGGTGATGCTGGAGCCACTGCATGGAGGGGCCCTGCAGGGAAGACATGGAGTCACATCTCAGGGGTCCCTTCCCTTCTCAGGGTCAGCACCAGCCCAAGGAAAGTGTCCTCTGACAACCCTGGGGCTCCCTCGGGCTCTCCTCAACTCCTTCACCTCTTGGGCAGTGATTCATTCATTCATTCATCTATCCACACAACACTGTGGTTACTGAGGGCCTTGAACGCACCCGGCCCCAGGCCAGGAGGAGGGAATATGGCTGTGAGTGAGGCAGCCGTGGTCTCTATTCTTATGGAACTCACTTTTGATGGGAGAGAAAAACAAGCTCAGTGGCACAGAGACACAATATTGATGTAGTGCTGAAGTCTGAGAGTAACAAGGGGAAGAGATGGAGGCTAGTGAAGCATTGGGACCAACTGGGCATTGGGTGGCCCCAGGAGGCCCCATCTGAGGGGTGGTCTTTTAGCTGAGATAAGAAGATAAGCAGACAAGAGAGAAAGAAGGGGAGAGTGTTCTCGGCAGTGGTAAGAGTACTTGCAAAGGCCTCCAGGTGAGAGGGGTTTGGCCTGTTCCTGGACAGTCTGAAGGCTGGTGAGCAGGTGCAGAGGATGGAGTGAGAAGCTGCAAGGCTGGTGGGGCAAAGAGATGGTGGGGGGTGGCCTGGGTGGCAGGAAGGAGGTGATTTTCAGGGCAGACTGTGGCAGGGGTTCATCTGGAACACATCAGCCCACACGTTTGTGTGTGCAGCGTCAGCATGGAGGCAGCCACGTGCATATTTAGAAAAATGAGTGTGAGGTCACAGAGATCAAGGCTGGAGCCTGGAATGGGGGGCAATCAGCTTAAAGCTATGGAGGGCATGGCCCAGGCCTGGGTGAGGGGGCCCCAACAGATACATTGCATGCTGTCACTGTGTCAGGCACTCGCCTCCTGAGAACTGAGTTCTGAGTATATAGATTGTCAGGGACACTCCACATCTCCCATGTGCTCCGCCAGCCTGGTTCCGAGTTGTACCTTGCTGCCATCCACCAGTGTCTGCTTCAGAAATAAATGCTTGTTCTCATGCGAGTCAAAATGGAAAAGAATTTGTTTCCCTACACTGATCCTGATTTTGGAACCCAGTAGACACTTCAGAGCCAGGATGCATTTGCTGATGGGATTATCATAGGAGGGAAAGAGGGAAAGGGGATGCTTGTGTGCCCACAGCTGTGAACGTCGGAAGCTGGAAGTGGATCAGGGAATGTGCTAGAGATGAGAATTCCTGTGTTCAACGGGGGCGGCTGGGGTGAGGGCAAGGGTTGGTGGGGACGAGTGTTGTGGGGAAGGGAGGGAGGAGAGGAACAAGCTATGTCTGCTGCTGGCATGGTTCTGCCTCCTCGGCTGGTGAGCTGGCAAAGAGACCAGAACTTGATTCTGGAACTCGAGACCACATCGGTGAGTTAGGGCAGCCCTGCTACCAAGGATGTCTGTATTCTGGTAATACAGACTTTAACATCTGTACTATTCTCAGTTCAGTCTCTGCCGAGAACAACCGGTGTGCATTTTCCCGCAGTGATTTTTCTTGCTAGTGATAGGGTGGGGTTTGGTGGCCACAGATCCCATGATTGCTGGTGTCGTTTGTCCCACAGGAGACACAGCCACCATTTGTAGACTTGGAATCTCTCCATCCTCTCTGCAGTCACTTCTTCATGCACTAGGCCGCAAGTTCCTAAGTCAGGGACTGCACTGAATTTGCCTTGATTTCTCTAGAACTGGACACATCATAGGGACTCCAAAATGTTAGCTGAGTCAAACTGAACTTTCCGTCACGTTAGAGTTTCCCAGGCTTTGTCACAGTCACACCAACCTCCCCAGCAGTCAAACGACACCGAGCAGTCAGGAGAGCACCTCTCCTGGGCTGGAGCTTCTTTCTCCTGTGTCCTGGGTCTCTCTGTGCTTCAGTTCACCTTCTCACAGGCCCTGGGTCTGCAGAGCCATGCTAGTGTTTTGTTTTGTTTTGTTTTGAGACAAGGTCTTACTCTGTCGCCTAGGCTGGAGTGCAGTGGCACAATCACAGCTCACTGCAGCCTCAGCCTTTTGGGCTGAAGCAATCCTTCCATCTCAGCCTCCTAAGTAGTTAGGACTACTACACCCAGCTAATTATTATTGTTATTTGAGACAGAGTCTCGCTTTGTCACTGCTGGAGTGCAGTGGCAAAATCTTGGCTCACTGCAATCTCTGCCTCCTGGGTTCAAGCAATTCTTGTGCCTCAGCACCCCCGCCCCCGCCGAGTAGCTGGAATTACAGGCATGTGCCACCATGCCCAGCTAATTTTTGTATTTTTAGTAGAGATGGGTTTTCACCATGTTGGCCAGGCTGGTCTCAAACTCCTGACCTCAAGTGATCCACCCATCTTGGCCTCCCAAAGTACTGGGATTACAGGCATGAACCGCTGCACCTAGCCAAATTTTTTTTTTTAGAGACAGGGTCTCGATATGTTGCCCAGGCTGGTCTCAAAACTCCTGCGCTCAAATGATCCTCCAGCCTTGGCCTCCCAAAGTGCCGGAATTACAGGCATGAACCATCACACCCGGCCAAACCATGCTAATTTGTCATGAGTCCCTGATATCCACCCTCCTCACACCTACCCCACACCCACTTTACCTGCTGGTGGCTTCCCACTGCTTCATGGGGTCATGGCTGGTGAGGCTCTTCAGGGTCTTTGGCCCACTGGACTCATCACGCTCTGTCTTCACAAAGTCTGGAAGGAAAGGGCCGGGAAAGAGCATGTGAGGGCCCAGCTTCCAGAGCTTAGACAAGGGATGGCAAAGGGGTTTCCATTTGCAGGCTAAAGCTGCACAGTGAATAGTGAGTACCTGGGGAGGTGAGTTAAGCAAGATTCTGAGGCCTCATAAGAGTTCAGTGATTGATTAGTTATGCCTGTTGTGGATCCACGGAGAGTAAGCAAGATTCTGAGGCTTTGTAAGAGTTCAGTGATTGATTAGTTATGCCTGCTGTGGATCCACAGAGAGGAGAGTTGGGATCCAGAGTTATCATTTCATGTGACATTTCCAACTTATTGGTCTCATCAAGGAACAAAGCAGGCAAATATGTTTTTTCAGACCAGGCGCGGTGGCTCATGCCTGTAACCCCAGTACTTTGGGAGGCCAAGGCAGGTGGATCACTTGAGGTCAGGAGTTCCAAACCAGCCTGGCCAAGATGGTGAAACCCTGTCTCTACTAAAAATACAAAAATTAGCTGGTGGCGGGCACCTGTAATCCCAGCTACTCGGGAAGGTGAGGCAGAAGAATTGCTTGAACCGGGGAGGTGGAGGTTGCAGTGATCCGAGATCGTGCCACTGCACGCTAGCCTGAGTGAGACCTTGTTTAAAAAAAAAAAAAAAAAAATGGCTGGGTGCAGTGGTAACGCCTGTAATCCCAGCACTTCAGGAGGCGGAGATGGGTGGATCACTTGAGGTCAGGAGTTCCAGACCAGCCTGGTCAACATGGTGAAACCCTGTCTCTACTGAAAATACAAAAATTAGCTGGGTGTGGTGGTGGGTGCCTGTAGTCTCAGCTACTCTGGAGGCTGAGGCAGGAGAATCACTTGAACCCCAGAAGTGAAGGTTGCAGTGAGCTGAGATTGTGCCACTGCACTCCAGCCTGGGGCACAGAGTGAGACTCTGTCTCAAGAAAAAAAAAAAAAAAGTGGTTTGGAAGGTACAGAAACCTGGGTGGGCACCATGAGGGCGGGGTTTAGGCACGTACAAGGGTCTGTTTGTATATGTAAGTGGGCACCACGTGGCCACGTGGACAAGCAGAGTTCGCCCAAGAAATTGTAAATCTCAACTGTAGCTGTAGCTTTGGTCTTCCCCGGACAGCCTGGAAGGAGCCATTTAACAAGAGGTAGGTTCGCTTGGTACCCTGGGTCCTTCTTTTAGCGGAGATGCTAATGGGGGAATGACAAGGCCTAAGGGCTGATAGGTGAGGTTCGGGGCTGTGAACACTCCGCAGGGTCGGGGAGGGCGATCTGGGGGTGCTGGGTGTGGATTCTGTTGGGAAATTTTTGAGTCGAGTGAGGGCTGGGTCAGATTGTCTGAGATCTTTTCCAGCGCTGGATTTCTGCTCTGAGGCCGCAGCAGAGAGAATATTCGATAGCTTTGCTGAGATAAAGCACGTTCCTGTCCCTAAGTGGTGGGCTGAAGAGGGCGCTGGGGAGGGGCTTGCTGCTTACCATAGAGCTTCTCCCTTGTCTTGCCCTGAGAGGTCTGCAGCTTGATCTCCCCCTGGAAGTGGCCTGTCAACTCCCCATGGTGGGTGAGAGGCGTGTAGATGGGCAGCTGCGTTTCTGTGGCCTCTAACCGAAGGGCAATGCAGCCCTCGCCTGCGGGGAAAGCGGGAGACAGCTGGGTGAAGATTCTGCCTTTTCATGGCGGAAACACCAAACTCTTGGCCGGAGAGTTGGCTCTGTCATCCAAAGACGGTGCTTTGAAACTATGGCCCAGGGAAGGGTTATTTAATAAATACGTCAGAACAGCACCGCAGTACTTTGGGGGCAAATGTCTCAAGTCTTAGAACAAAAGGTGGATTAGTTGATGTAAAAAAATTATATTGTAGAAAACGTAGCAGAAAGACAGGATTAAACACTCATCTGATTGCTTTGGGAATGAAAACTTCCCAAGATCTGATGCAGTATAAGACATGACAGAACAACATTGGCGGCAAGAGAATATGCAAGTTTAAAACTTGCACAGAGGAAAAACCTAAAATAAAAAGAAAACAGATTGGGAAGAGTATCTGCAGCCAGCTCCCCAGGCAAGAGGGTACTCCATCTGAATTCCACGAGGAACTCCTCAAAATCAAATCCCCAGCATGTACATGGACAGATAATACAGACAGACATTTCACACGAAAAGAACTGCAGCCGGCTAATTTTAATAAATGGAAAATAGTTCCACTTTCCTAGCCATCAAAAATGCAAACTAAGGAATCACTAAGTTGCTCTTTCACAGACATGACGTTGGTGTAGATAGGAAGGGAGAAAAATAACACCCAATGCACCGGGCACAGTGGCTCACGCCTGTAATCCCAGCACTTTGGGAGGCTGAGGCGGGCTGATCACTTGAGGTCAGGAGTTCAAGACCAATCTGGCCAACATGGTGAATCCCCGTCTCTATGAAAAATTACCAAAATTAGCCAGGGGTGGTGGTGCTTGCTTGTAGTCCCAGCTACTTGGGATGCTGAGGCAGGAGAATCTCTTGAATCTGGGAAGCGGAGGTTGCAGTGAGTCAAGATCGTGCCACTGCACTCCAGCCTCCAAAAACAAAAAACGAAACCACCCAATGCCAACAAGGATGTGGGGAAGCCTGTCCATGGTGAGGTTGGCTGAGACAGCCTTTACAGCAATCAGTTTGGTGTCAAGTGCCAAGAAGCACAAACACTGACACCTCTGGCCCAGTAAACATGGGAACCTGTCCTCAAGAGATTACTCAAAAGAATAAAAAATGTAGCTGAAGAATAATAAAAAATGTCCACAAAGAGATTCATCTCAGCATTACTGATAGCACCAACAAAAACAACTGACAGAAACTCAATAATAGTACTTTTAAAATGAGGAATACTTTTAAAATGAGGATGCAGTAAGTCCATGGAACATAACGCAGCCATCAAAAGGAACAGTCACAAAGATGGGGCAGGAGAAACATGGAAAATGTATTTAATCTAATACCAAGTGAGGGAAGCAGAGTATAAAATAATGTTTCTGTGATGGTAAGTATGAAAATCTAGGTGTGCCTATGCATGAGGCTGGAAATGTGAAACCAAAATAAAAATGATTACTGGAATGAGACTGTTGCTTTTTCTCCTTTTCCTTATGATGATATGCTGTTTGTGAGTATGAATGTGAAGCAGAAGAAACAAAGGAGGATTACAGGATTTTATTTTTAAAGACAGGGTCTTGCTGTGTCACAGAAATACAGGATTTGAATGAGAAAATGAAGCATGTGTTTTGTGTACTGCCTGTTTCCTGCCATCAAAGCTTCAAACATTTCAACAGCTACTCAGATGCTCTTGCATCTATGACGAGGGTACCCCATCAGGGCCATTACACTCCTCAGGCTCTGCCCACCCCTCCTCCAGCTCCGGGACCCTCTTGCCAGCGCTGCACTGGGAACAGGGAAGAGCTGCCTGGGCTCAGGCCCAAGATCCTGTTGTTACCTCCGACAAGCTACTTAGTAGCTGCATGAACTTCAGGTCTCCCAGCCTCCTTTCCTCACCTCCCCAAAGAGGGGAGCCACAGTGCCCACACCCAGGTGTTGGCAGAGCCTGCACAGTGGGCTACTATGCACAGGGCTTTCCTTTGTGTCTGCAGCCTCTTCCTCTTTAGTGACTTCCACCAAGCAGCATTCAAAGCTCTTCCATTTCAAACAAATAAGCACGTGGACAAATGTGCTCCCTTGACCCAGGCGCATTCTCCTCCGCCTCCTCATGCCCTGTTAACTCCTAAGTGCCAAGGTCTGATGTCACCCTGGCCCTTCCATGGACACTGCGCTCACCAAGTCTGCTGATGGGCTGAGTCACTTCATCTAAGGGACGCTCGGTCTTTGTGTTGGGCCCCTTGGCCACATTTGCTATTGTAACCACACCCTCTTCTTGACCCAACTTTTCTGATGGTGTCCTCAACACCACAGCATTCTGGTCTTCCTCGTACGCTGTGGCTGTGCCTTGGTCTCCCTTACCCGCGGCACTACACCTAACCCAGTGCAGGAAGTGGAAGCATCATTCATGCAGCCCTGATATGGTTTGGCTGTGTCCCCACCTAAATCTCTTCTTGAATTGTAGTTCCCATAATCCCCATGTGTCGTGGGAGGGACCAGGTGGAGATAATTGAATCATGGGGTGGTTTCCCCATCCTTTGCTCAATAGTGATAGTGATTGATAGTGATCGTGATAGTGATGGTGAGTGAGTTCTCAAGAGATCTGATGGTTTTACAAGGAGCTTCGCCCACCAATGGGCACCCACTTCTCCTTCCTGCCATCATGTGAAGAAGGATGTGTTTACTTCCCCTTCTGCCATGGTTGTAAGTTTCCTGAGGCCTCCCCAGCCCTGCAGAACTGTGAGTCAATTACACCTCTGTCCTTATAAGTTACCCGTCTTAGGTATGACGACAACATGAGAACAGACTAATACAGACCCTTTCCCCAATCCCAAGCCCAGTTTTCTACTCCATTCCTCTCAACGTTTTTCCTCTTCTCTCCCTTTTTACTGTCACTACTTCTATTCTGGCTCACTCATCTGTCATCTTGATCACTGCAGATGCAGATTTCTAAGATGTGAATCTGATCCTGTTACTTCCTTGCTTGAATCTTCAATGGCTCCCTACTGCCCTCAGGATAAGGTATTTGCTCTTAGCTTGGCTTGTAAAGAGAGGCTTGGTCTGGCTCCTGCCTCCAGCCTCTCTGTCCCCTCCAGGCTCTCTCTGCCTCTCTCACCCCATGCCTAGCCACACATGTGGTCTAGCAAGGGTGATCCTGACTTTGGGCTGGAGCCACAAACAGGCAGAGATGGTACAAAAGCCCCTGGTGTCTCTCTGGCCACAGGCCTCCACAGCCTGCCTGGTCTGGGCACTGGGCATTGCCGAGCAGAAGACCAGAGAGCCCTGGGCTGGTGTTTCCAGCACCCCAAGTGCCACTCAGGGGACCCTGAACCACACCTCTGCCCAAATTGCTCTGGCTGGGCGGAGGGGGTCTTCAGGCAGAGGGTGGCCACTCGGGGGCACAAGCAGCAGCCCCTTTGTGCCTGAGCAGGTGTTTTAGAGACTGGGTCAGCAGAGGGGGGTCTGTGGCTCCAGATCTGTGAGCTGAGGAGGCTGACTCAGGACACATGAGAAGCAGAGAAGGGCAGGCAGACCTGGGTTCAAATGAGGGCACAGCCACCACTACCTGTGTGACTTGGGCAAATCACTTGATCTTTCTGAGCCTCTGTTTACTTGTCGGAGAACAGTAAGGTCTTGTCAAGATTGCATCACATAATACTGGAAAGTGCCTGGCACAGATCTCACACATAGGGAAGGCTCAATACGTGGAAGGGGTTGCCACTGCTGGCTGTCCTGCCCAGAAGCCTAGTCGGGAGGGAAGGATGACTTAGTGATGACAGTCCCACTAGCAGCCCTGGGATGGGGAAAGGAGAGGCAGGAGCCTATGACCGGAAGTGCCAGGTGGGCTCTCCCTGAAGGTGATGCTACATCACAGGCCGCCAGCTCACTGGCAGGTGTGGCACCTGTCCACAGACCCTTACCATAGGATTCGTCGCTGTCAGAGGACTTGATGCTGATGAGGATGTGCTGGTCTAGCAGGTACTCAGGGTCAGAGATAATGGGCTTCAGCTGCAGAGAGAAGGGCACAGGACTGGAGTTGACGGGCAAGGGACAGGTGAGGGGACAGGTGGGTGTACAGGTGGATAAGGATGACGAAAGGTGTTCTTAGTCATCAGATCCAAATCTCTGCTGTCCATACCCAACAGAGCAGGTGGGGTATAGCTTTCACATACACCCTGTCCAGCAAGGTGGGGGTTAGCTTCCTTCCCTGTCCCCTTTACCTCCACACTGCACCCCAGGCCTCCTAAACTGAGCTGGCTCCCAGATCCCAGCAAGAAGGCCTGACCCCTTGGCCGGGCGCGGTGGCTCAAGCCTGTAATCCCAGCACTTTGGGAGGCCGAGGCGGGTGGATCACGAGGTCAGGAGATCGAGACTATCCTGGCTAACATGGTGAAACCCTGTCTCTACTAAAAATACAAAAAACTAGCCGGGCGTGGTGGCGGGCACCTGTAGTCTCAGCTACTTGGGAGGCTGAGGCGGGAGAATGGCGTGAACCCGGGAGGCGGAGTTTGCAGTGAGCCGAGATCACGCCACTGCACTCCAGCCTGGGAGACACAGCGAGACTCCGTCTCAAAAAAAAAAAAAAAAAAAAAAAAGAAGGCCTGACCCCAAATGGGCCCCATCCATTGCCCGCGTTCCTTCCCATCCCTAGGCCAGAGTCATGGAGGAGGACGCAGGCTGACGGACAAGTGGGGCCAGGCACCAGGTCTGGAATGACCCCTGCACTCCACCCTGCACCAGGCTCCCCGCACAGAGCACACACCTTCTCCTTGGCCCCCAGGACTGTGGCTACATCCCAGCCCTGCCCCTATCTGGCTTGCGCCTATCTGGGGAGGACACAGCCTCTGTGTCCATCATGGCAGAGCCCCCAGCTGGGCCTGGAATGTCCTACAGATTGTTAGGGGTGTGGCTCAGCGAATGACAGACACAGACTCCCACATTCCATCTGTGAGCACGTTTCCAGAACCGGGGACTGCCAGCTCCCCCAGAGGCCCTGCTGGCCTGGCCGGTGGTGGGGGGTGCTGCTAGCAGGCTTTGCACAATGCTGGGGGAGCCTCGGACCTCACCAGTGGGGGCTGTGTCCGGGCGAGCGCAGGGAGAAGCATCACACGCACACTAGCTCCTCATCTGCTACAAGTTATGACTTTTCAGATTTATGACTTTTTCAGATGTGGGGCTGTTCCTCACGATGACTCCCATACAGAAGGGCCAAATAAAAAGGTGATACTTTGTTCTAGGGATTCCCTCCCTTCCTTTCCAGACACCAAAAAGCTCTGGTACAGGGCTCTGGGCACCATGTTGGCCAACAGGGCAGACTCACTACATCTCCATTCAGAAAGTTCCAGGCCGAGCACAGTGGCTCATGCCTATAATCACGGCACTTTGGGAGGCCGAGGCGGGCAGATCACTTGAGGTCAGGAGTTCAAGACCAGCCTGGCCAACATGGTGAAACCCTGTCTCTACTAAAAGATACAAAAATTAGCAAGGCGTGGTGGTGTGTACCTGTAATCTCAGCTACTTGGGAGGCCGAGGCAGGAGAACCACTTGAACCTGGGAGGCGGAGGTTGCAGTGAGCCGATTTGGCACCACTGTACTCCAGCCTGGGCAACAGAGCGAGACTCAGTCTCAAAAAAAAAAAGTTCCAGAACAGATGATTGGAAATTGCAGTGGAGCTCTGGGCACTCCAGGGTTCCACGGCTGCACCAATCATCACTTGGCTCCTGGCACGAGGTGATGCCTGGCTCTAAGTTAGACCCAGGGCCAGAGCTGGGGGCCTCGGATGCAGGAGGAAGACCGGGTCCTCCCTGGGATGCAGTGGGAGTGGGGTGACAGACATCTGAACAACAAATGTCTCTGTGGGACACCACCACCCTGGCAGGGGGTGGCAGGGAGGAGGACTATCTAGGGGGCCATGGCAGAGATTTACAGGGTGAACAGAGGAGGCTGCCAGGCAACAGGGGTGGGACGGGGGTTCAGGGAGCAGGAGACAGTGAAGGCTCCTGCAGTCCTGTGGGAACAGCAGATGAGGCTGCTTAGCCCACTGGGCAACAGGAAGTCGACTGGATAAAGAGGGGGACGCCAGGATCAGATAGGCATTCCAGAAAGATCCATCAGCGTTCAGGATGCCTCAGCAAGAGGCAGGAGACAGGAAAGGTGGACCCCCTGGGAGGGGGCAGGGGGACAGAGGCAAGAGGAACAGCAGGACTTGGTGGCTGTGAGGATGTGGGGAGTGGAGGAAGACAGGGTGCCCTAGGGGGTCCCTGAGCTGGACAGGGGGGTGAACGTGTTGGGGAATGGGGTGCTGCTCTCTTTTCCAGCTTCACCAAAGGAGGAAACTACTGTTCAGGCCCTGCCTGGAAGCAGCCAGGGAGGAAGAGCAGGAGGAGGGGCTTGGGCCGGGTGAGGCAGAAATGTCTCCTTGGAGCCCAGAGCCCCCATGACTAAGGGGCCTGAAGACAGCCCCAGAACAGGGCCTTCTGACAGCTCTTCTGGGGCCTCAGTGGGAGACCCCAGTCAGAGCCACGTGAGCTGGCCGCGGCCTCTGAGTAATTTGGAATTGGGCCGCAGTGGGGGGAATCTGGAGTTCAGGTCAGCCGCTGCTCCTCAGATGATGTGGCTTTTTTACATGGCCTGAGAGTTGGTTCCAATCAAAGGTTAATGCCAGTGTGGGTCCAGCCTCCTGAAACCTGCCTACATCCTACCCCAGTCTCAGGAGAGAATGGGTCCCTCCACCTGTCCTTTAAAATTCACCTCCAGTGTCACCTCCGAGGGAACCTCCGAGGGCAGCCCCCAAGATGCCCCACCTCCTGTGATGGATCTGCCTGGCCTGGGACTCCTCTCCATTCCACCCCTCCCTCGCGGCATGAAAAAGAAACTCACTTCCCACCCAGCATGAACAACCACTAAGCTCCTTAGCTTGTACTCGATGACACCCGACACCTCCACTGTCAATTTAGCACTACAAAAGCAGATTCAGTAGAAAAGCATTAAAAAAAAAAAAAATAGAGACAGGGTCTCACTGCATCACCCAGGCTGGAGTACACTGGCATGATCATAGCTTAGTGCAGCCTGGATCTCCTAGGCTCAGGTTATCCTCCCGCCTCAGCCTCCAGAGCAGCTAGGACTACAGGCATGCGCCATCATGTCTGGCTAGTTAAAAAAAAAAAAAAATTTTAGGCTGGGTGCGGTGGCTCATACCTCTAATCCCTGCACTTTGGGAGGCCGAGACCAGTGGATCACTTGAGGTCAGGAGTTTGAAACCAGTGTGGCCAACATGGGGAAACCCCATCTCTACTAAAAATACAAACATTAGCTGGGTGTGGTGGTGCACACCTGTAGTCCAAGCTACTCAGGAGGGTGAGGCAGGAAAATCGCTTGAACCTGGGTGGTCGAGGTTGCAGTGAGCCAAGATCATGCCACTGCACTCCAGCCTGGGCGACAGAGCAAGACTCTGTCTCAAAAAAAAAAAAAAGAAAAACAAAAAAAAAATGATTTTTTTTTTTTTGTAGAGATGGGGTGTCACTGTGTTTCCCAGGCTGGTCTTGAACTTCTGGGCTCAAGCAATCCCCCCGCCTTGGCTTCCCAAGTGCTGGGATTACATGTGTGAGCCACACCAGGCCAGAAAACCATTTTTTCTATAGCAAAGAAGACTGTGTTCCCACTAAAGTTTGGTTGAGTGTTTTCAATTCCACCCTCTGCTCTTGCAGGGTCACAGACATGTCAAGTACTTCGTGTGTTCACAAGTGTATGATTAGCAGCCAACAGACCCCTCTCTATGCCTCTCTGTACTCAATTCTATGAACCAGCACTGAATAGGAAAACAAGCATCAAAGCGGGTATTGGAGTCTTGGGGTTGCATCCTAGGTGTGTTACCGCAGCCATGAGGCCATGAACAAGCAGCGCTTGGCCCTGCACCTGATTTTCCTTCTTTGCAAAATCATGTGGTTAGATGAGCTGACCTCTAGATCCCTTCTGTGATCCTTTAGGGGAACTGAAACCATTTAGGAATAATGAGGCCACATACCGACTGCTGCAAAGCATGTCATGAACCACCGCGAGCGAGAGCTTGCTCCTAGAGGGGCCTCTTTCCGCATTCGGTCTATGAGATTTCTGCCCCCTCTGGTCAGGCCTGGCCATAGCTCTGCCGCTGGCTGGTGCTCCCGGCCTAGCAAATGCAAATCTTCTTTTGGGGAATGCCTTGCTCTAGAATTACCTTTGGAAGGGTCTCACCAAACTTCACCACCAGCTCCCCCTCACTTCCTTCTTCGTTTTCTCCTTCCTGACTCTTGACGAAACCTGTTGGAGGACAAGAAGGCTGGTTTTCAGAAAACAGAGCAAGAACCAGACAGAAAAGACTCCCTGGTCACCCCACCCAGACCGAGGAAGATGTGCTCTCGCCCTTTTTTTTTTTTTTTTTTTTTTAAATCTCGGGGCCTCAGCATCATTTAGGAGTCAGGCCTGCCGGGGATTCTGTTTTTGTTCAGGGACTGGTCATTTGCCAACATGGTCTAATTATTTTTAGGAAAATCAAAGAGATTCCCCTCCTTTTCAGTTCCTCTTTGCAACAAACCAGGCAACAAAGAAATCATCACATCACAGGCAAAAAGATTAGGAAACTTGACAGCTCGTCCCACGCCACTCAAGATAGCAGCCTTTTGAAATTCTAATTTAAGCTTCCTAATATGCTGTTTCCATAGAAATGTATGCAAGTGTCTTGATAGTTTATTAAAACCACCCGCACAAAAATCTTCATCATTTTTCGAACCGCTTTGACCCTGCTGGGTGAACTGGGGCTTGGGGACTCAGTGGCAAAGGCCGCTCTAGCACCAGGCCCGGGCCCGGCTGAGTTGGAGAAGGAGGTAGGGACCAGAGGGGCAGAACTGGCAGCACACGCTTCTTCCTGATTTCTGGAAGCATCCCAGCCAGGCCCTCACAAAATGCCCTTTTGTGGAGTTGATGTCCCCTATTCCTCCCCCGACCACTATGCAGACCATCTCAGTGAAGAGGGCTGGATACACGCAGCTCTTCCCTGGCCGTGAAACAGCTTTAGACAACATGCCTAGAAATGTCACCTGGAAAGGGTGTTTCCTAAACACAGTTTGTGCTAAATGCCGCTGGCTCAGGGGAGCCTGTCCATCTCCTGCTTGCTTTCGGACGCTGCAGACCCCCTGAGAAAGATGCCACGATCTCCAAAGAGCAAGAGGAGCCAGGGCGACAACAGGCAGCGACAGCTCCAGCCCTCACACTGGCTCTCTGAGGTCTGGACCTGGGCCCAATGCTCTCTGGCTGAGTCAGAGCCCCAGCTTGCAGGGAACCTCGAGCGGGTCACAGTCCACCCTCAGGGGCAGGGATTGGACCCTGCCTGCCACCTACAAGGGACTGAGAGGTCAGTACATTCATGGCCATCCCTGCCCCTAGGGCTGCACAGGCCACAGGGGGACCCTTGGCAGTAACTGAGTGTCCCCTTGAGCCATCCACCTGCAGCCCCACTTCTCTGATCCGCTTTGTGAGTCTTTTCCAGGGAGAGGAGAAATGGGGCAAAGTGCCAAGTACAAAAGACGTTTATAAGAAGGCTCCGGCCAGCTCCGCCCAGAAGGTAGCTCAGCAGCCACTTACTCTCCAAGCAGCTCGAGTGGAACTCCAGGTAGAATTTGGTCTGGGACTTGGTCTTCAATGTGGCGTAGCACCTGAGAAACTCAATCTGTCCTTGGCTGTCGACAGTCCCAGGACCTGGAACAGGGGAGAACGGGGACTCAGTTCCACAATGTGCCTGGAGATGGAGCATTTCCAATTAGTTCTCATGCCACGTACTGAGCTCCTTCTCAGGGTCCCAGGAAGGAGGGAGTTTACTGGGAGGAGAACTAAAGCTACAGTGAAATCCAGCACCCACCCGAGCATCCTCAACCTCTCTGATGTATCATAAGCTGGCCAGGGCAGAGAGCCGGGCAGAAAGACGCAGAGTCCCAGGAGTCCGCACCTCATTTCAGCTCTGTCATTAAAGCTGTGTGACCTCAGGCAATACCCCCACTATTTCAGGCTCCCAGCTAGTTCCGGCAAAAAGACTTTGTAGAATGGCTGGGTTGCTCAATACCCAAATCAATGCTGTTGCTGAGTTCAGATGATGAGGGCTAGCAGCTCTTTCTCCCTCAGGCCCAGTGATCCCCGCTCCTTACTCTGGGCTCCGTAAGCTCATTTGTACAGAGTTAACTTGCCTGCAACTGTATTAATTTAGATGATGCTTTTGCAAGCATCCTTAAGCTGCTTTTAAACAAGTGTTCTATCCTTTCATATACATTTTGAGCCACAGAACAGAGACTTGTTCTGAGACCATGAACAAATCTTTCCTTCCTCCATCCCTCACATCCTTCCTTCCTTCTTTCCTTTCTCTTTCCAAACCCCACAGTGCCCAGTCCAGGCTCTGCTTAGGTAGATGCCCTGTCAATGCTCAATTCCTGTGATCAGTGTTTTCGAGCATCTGCTGGGTACTGAGCCCCCGTGGAGGGAAGCCCAGCCCGACACTGAGGATGCCCTACCCTGGAATAGAGGAGGAGGTGGCAAGGACAACCCCTTCAGGGCTGCAGGAGCTCAGAGAAAGGAGAGATGGGTGGAAGTCGGGGAAGAGGTCCAGCCTAAGGACTAGGAAGATTCTAGAAAAGCACAGTGGCCAGACTTAGGAAGGAAACACAATGGTGGGTCAAGGCTTGGGTGGAGAAGGGAGGTCACATTTCCGGGGCTGTGGATGTTAGATACAATAGGATGGAGAAAAGCATCCCAGGAAGACGGTGCTCTGGCCTCATGTGTGTCCCCCAGGGTATGAAGGACACAGAGCAAGATGGTCTTTCCTTGTATTTGGGTCCCCTATGTTCAGTTTTCCTAAAGGAGCCCAGTGACCACTGGACTGACCGTGGAGGCAGTGACTGGGCAGAGACAACATGGCTCCCTGGTCACTTAGGCCAAGGGCTGGATGGACACATTACAGAGAACACTTGGCCCAGCTGGGACGAGGGTAGCCTGGCAACCAGGGCTGGGCTGGATTATTTGAAAAATTACCTGCAAATCTAAATATTATTTACTGTGGTGTTTCCCAAAACTCAGTCATCTGCATGCCATCTTTTTTGTTTGTTTGTTTTTGTTTTTTTTTATTTGAGACGGAGTCTGGCTCTGTCGCCCAGGCTGGAGTGCAGTGGCCGGATCTGAGCTCACTGCAAGCTCCGCCTCCCGGGTTCACGCCATTCTCCTGCCTCAGCCTCCCGAGTAGCTGGGACTACAGGCGCCCGCCACCTCGCCCAGCTAGTTTTTTGTATTTTTTAGTAGAGACGGGGTTTCACCAGGTTAGACAGGATGGTCTCGATCTCCTGACCTCGTGATCCGCCCGTCTCGGCCTCCCAAAGTGCTGGGATTACAGGCTTGAGCCACTGCGCTCGGCCCTGCATGCCATCTTAACGATTTTTACCATCTCTGCCTACCACGCACCTGTACTACTCTTTACTTAATATTTTCTCTAAATAGACTCACTTTTTAAAATTAAGTGTAGCTGAATAAGGTATATCACAACACTAAATGGAAAAACAATGGTGCTTGCCTTAAACAGAAGACATAAATTTAAAACATGTTAAAATAAAGGCATTACTAACAAATGCTTATTCATGTCCCCTGCCCCCTCCTCCCACCCCACCCCGATAATTGTCTTCAGGCCACACCTTGGTAAACACTGATTTACCCATGTTTTCAGACTAAAACTGAGGCTCAAAAGGCTGACATATTTGCCTAGCAGAGCGAGTAAATTCTCCGGACTGAAATTGTGCTGTGGCTGGGACATGAAGAAACTGACTGATACTGTGGACTTGACTGGGAACATGAGCCTTCCTCTAATGCAGACCGCTGACTGTTACCCGAAGACAAGCTCCCAACACTCCTTGTCATTGAGGAAAACAGAGAAACAGACACCGTCCTTTGCTTACCGTTCTTGGAGACAAACTGGGAAGTGACTCCTGCCTCAAACGTGGCAAAGACAGGGCTGTGGTCACTGGTCATGATGTCGCTGGTACTGCCTGCAGGGGAGGGAAGGCATTTTTCAGCAGGGAAGGAGAAGCCCTTCTGGTCAGGCCAAGGACGGCAACCCTAAAGCAGAAACTTTAGTTATGGAGCCCTCCAGAAGTGCGAAGGTTTTACACCTGCTGTCCTGTTGTCCTTCCACTGAAATGCTTAAAGGGTTCAGTGGAAGACAGTGTGGACACTGCCTCCTCCATGGATAAAAGAAGCCTGTGCTCATTTTTCCTAAATACCTATGACTTTTTGAATTGATTAGGGAGTGTGAACCATGGAGATTTTTCTGGTCTAATCATATTATTTATTTATTTATTTTTGAGACAGAGTCTCGCTCTGTTGCCCAGGCTGGAGTGCAGTGGCGCGATCTCAGCTCACTGCAACCTCCACCTCCCAGGCTCAAGCAATTCTCATGCCTCAGCCACCCGAGTAGCTGGGATTACAGGTGCGTGCCACCACACCCAGCCAATCTTTGTGTTTTTTATAGAGATGAGGTTTCGACATGTTGGCCAGGCTGGTCTTGAACTCCTGACCTCAGGTGATCCACCCGCCTCAGCCTCCCAAGTGCTGGGATTACAGACACGAGCCACCGCGCCTGGCTCACTTTATTTTATTGATGAGGAGCCCCAAACACGGGGTGGGAAGGGGACTGAAGGCCACTCAGCTCATCAGTGGGAGAGACGGGACACCTTCTCCATCCCACGATGCCTTGTAGAACCAGGAGAGAGCGGATGATGCCAAGTGTAGAAAACTCTGTTAAGGAGCTTGGCACTGGGGTGAGAAGGGAGGCAACAGAGCACTTTGGGAGGGGGCAAGAGAAAGAGGACAGTTCTAGAAAGACAGTTCTTTCAAGATAGCCCGTTGGAGATGCCTGGCAGGAAGTGGTCACTCAAGGCTGGAGATATGTCTTTGGATGTGGAGTCTTGGGATTAAGCGGAAGCGGAAGACATTAGTGTGTTTGGGCTTTCACATGAAAGATGAGAAGAGATGAGGACAGAATTCCAAGGCACGCCAACCATGAATGGGCGGGCAAAGGAAAAACTGCCAGCAAAGGAGACCAAGAAGGTGATAAAACAGACTTGGTACCCTTTTCTAGAAAGCGTTTACAAATCAGCAAGAAAAAGATAAACACTCCACCGCTCAACCAACCAAAGGATATGGACAGAAAATTCACCAAAAAATATAAATGGCTAATAAACATGAAAAGAAAAAAGCTCACTTACTAAGGATCACCAGAGAAACACATGGAAACTACAAGACAGAACAGAGAAAGGGACAGGAGAGAAGGAGGGGAGTGGGGGCACTGGTTGGTAGTAGAGGAGGAAAAGATGGAGTCAAGGGTCTAGGGGCAAAGGCTAGGCAGGAAAGAAAGAGGAGGCTACCCCTTCTCTGAGAGAGGAGGGAGGAAGATGCGAGGACATCAGCCTAAAATCTGGACACGAGGCAGAGCGTGGTGGCTCACGCCTGTAATCCCAGCACTTTGGGAGGCCGAGGTGGGCGGATCACTTGAGGCCAGGTATTCAAGACCAGCCTGGCCAACATGGCAAAACACTGTCTCTACTAAAAATACAAAAATTAGCCTGGCGTGGTGGTGCGCACTTGTAATCCCAGCTGCTTGGGAGGCTGAGGTGGAGAATCACTTGAACCTGGGAGGCTGACATTGCAGTGAGCCAAGATGGTGCCACTGCTCTCCAGCCTGGATGACAGAACAAGAGTGTCTCAAAAAAACAAAACCAAACAAAAACAAAAAACTGGACATGAGCGGGAAGAAATCAGTGAGGTCCAGTGCTATGTGAGGCAGGAGGATGGAGGGATGGAGGTGGGGAGTCAGGCTGAGCACTGGGGTACAGGTTTGCAGTGGTAGTGGAGGAGGGGTGTTCCAGGGAGAATTTAATGGGTTGACAAGCAAGATTTTTTTTTAAGTATTCTCAGAATATTTCAGATATGTACTGAACGTAATAGCAATGGTACTACAGTGTGCACTTAAGCTCGGAGGCGGACTATAAGATGGGTGACCCTCAAAAACCCAGTCCTCCTCCCAGTAACCACACTCTCTGTGGTCCCCTCCCACCATGAGTCTGGGCCTAGCCATGTGACTTTCTTTGGCCAATGGGACCTTAGTAAACCTGAGGCCAACGAAGCCTTAAGAAGAATTTCCATTGGTGAGACTAGCAGCTGGGAACCCTGAGACCAGGAAGCAAAGCAGCCTGCACTGGCCTGCTGGATGATGAGTACCACCCCTATGCCTGCTGACAGCCAGCCCACCCTAGATCTGATGGGCTCCTCCCTGAGTGTGCCCAGATGACACCAACTAGAGCAGAGGTGAGCAGTCCAAATTCAGCCTAGCCCAGAGACTCGCAAGCAAATAATTGTTTGCTTTAAGTCAGTGAGTTTTAGGACAGTTTGTGGTCTATATATGCATGGGTCTCTCTTGTTCTTATCTTTAATTTTTCCATCCCTGGTTAATGTTACACTGTTTTTAACTACTGTACCTTTGGAGTAAGTCCTGCCATCTTGGAAGGCCAGTGACCTGTTCTGCCTCTTCCTCCTCCTTTGTCAGAAGTTTGATAAGCAGTAGACAGCTGATTACATTGTAATGTAATGTAACCCCTGGCTACATTAATTGCCATGAGAAGACTAAGGCTCCCAGGTCACCCCCGTTTACTGAGCTCTGAACATCCACTCACTTTTCTTTTCCAACTTCTTGCCTTCCCTCAACCCCAACTCATTAAACATTTCCACTGAGCCCTCTGGCACTCCATGAAATATCATTAGCAAAATTCCCTGTATCTTTAATCTTCCCATCACCCCCCAAACCCGGCTCTCCCCCGGAAGACACTGCTGCCTCTCTGGTGAGGCTTGTTTTGCTCCCCAGCCCTCATATTCCGGGCCCAGAGGTGGGGACAAAGGGTGTCCTTCCCGCTCCTCATTGCCACTTCCGGACTGATCTCCCTCTTTCTCTAAAGCCTCCACTGTCGAGCAGTTTTGAATGCCAAGTTTAGGTGCAAAACAGTAAGTGGTAATTCTACAAGTCTCCCCTATCTCCTGACTCGGCAGAGGCTGGCTGAAGCAGGCAGATGGTTGAGATAAGAATTGGCAGGACGCGCGGAGCTGCAGGATGTGGGAAGGACAGCATTGACAGGGGAGACCCTGCGTGTGGCTGGGAAGGAGTGACAGGCCTGGAGAGTCCGAGGGGTGCGGGGGAGGGAATGCACAAGTGAGGAGGCTGCAGGCAGAGGGTAGGACTCGGTCACTTTGAGCTTTGGAAGCTGGAACAATGCCCCGGCCGTCACTGTGAGGGCAGGTTGCCTTCCCACACATCTAAAGGTGTTGTGTGAAGTTCGTCTAGTGACGTCACTTCTGGGAGACAGAGCTCATTCCTTCAGCAAGGAATGCAGGGAGCGTGTGTTAAACTATTTCAGGGTAGCTGCTCTGGGCTCTTCTGGGCAGCCGGAGGAGACATGCACAGGAATGGAAGTCAGTTCAATGTATAGGACCAGAGTTAAATTTGTGAGACCAAATTTGCCAGTCCCCAGAGAAGGTGGGAGCCACGAAGGTGGCCACTGGGCAGCAGCAGGATTCCCCCGCCCCTCTCCTCGCTCCAAGGACCAGGGTGGCCCTCCTTTAGGGACATTGAGAATTTGCAGTGTTTTAAAAATAATATCACTGGGCCTGGTGCAGTGGCTCAGTCCTGTAATCCCAGCACCTGGGGAGGCTGAGGCGGGTGGATCACTTGAAGTCAGGAGTTTGAGACCAGCCTGACCAACATGATGTAACCCCATCTCTACTAAAAATACAAAAATTAGCCAGGCATGATGCTGCATGCCTGATATCCCGGCTACTTGGGAGTCTGAGGCAGGAGAATCACTTGAACCCAGGAGGCAAAGGTTGCAGGGAGCCGAGATTTAGCCACTGCACTCTGGCCTGGGCGACTGAGAGAGACTCCAGCTCAATAAATAAATAAAAATAATACCACAATTCTCAGTCAGTGAAGTGTTCAAAGCAACTCTGTTCTGTGGATTTCTAAGGTCTCGCTTTGTAAGTAATGGGAACTAATCAGTAGCTTTTCAGAATAAGCATTCAGGCAATTAAGAACTCCTTCAGTGCACCTTTGAGGGTCAAGAGTTAACAGTCATTTTTTTCTTTCATTTTTTTCAGAGGTAGGGTCTATGTTGCCCAAGCTGGTTTTGAACTACTGGGCTCAAGCGATCCTCCCACCTCAGCCTCTTGAGTAGCTGAGACTATAGGTGCGTGGCACAGTGCCTGGCTAACAGTTATTTCTTAATTGTTTTTATAATTTATTCCATAATTATTTATTTTAATATTACATATTATGCCTTTTAAAAATCAATTTAACTCAATTTATTGTTAAACTTCCCCAAATATATATATGTATATACTTGTGCCATATGAATTTCCAATAACTGACTATTTCTGACCTACAAAAACACTTTCATATGGTTCAAACTTAATACGTTCTTTTCTAAAGAAATAAAATTGAATTTTTAAAAAAGTGCTCCAGGTCGGCCGTGGCTCACGCCTGTAATCTCCGCACTCTGGGAGGTTGAGGCGGGCTGATCACTTGAGGTCAGGAGTTCGCATCCAGCCTGGCCAACGTGGCAAAATCCGTATCTACTAAAAATACAAAAATTAGCCAGGCATGGTGGTGGGAGCCTGTAATCCCAGCTGCTTGGGGAGGCTGAGGCACGAGAATCGCTTGAACCCAGGAGGCGGAGGTTGTGGTCAGATGAGATCACGCCATTGTACTCCAGCCTGGGTGATAGAATGAGACTCTATCTAAAAAAGAAAAAAAGTGCTCCATAACTCAAACGTCTCCCAAAGCAGGGGATATTGATTAGGTGACAGCCCAAGACAGGCGGGGATGCATCAACATTTCCAGGTTGCCTGATTAGGGTTACAGTGAATTCCTCCCTTTGACACATCAACAGATTGAAGCCCTTAGATTTTAGGGCAGTTGCACCTCCCAGCAACTGCCCTAAACTGCCCTCTCTGATCCTGGTCTGCTTTCCCCAGTGTTTGGACTCACCATAAGACTGACACACCACGTGCACCAGGGGATAAGACTTCCAGAGGACTCGGTCGCACCAGGAAGGCAAGTTGTACTTCATCTGCAAATCAAAGTCACAGGCTTTGTAAAATGCCTCTTATTATGTTTCAATCAGTAGAAGAAAAGACTAACTGGTGGCCTCTGTAATCCTCAAATTAATCGGCTGTTGGCTTTTTATTTATTTATTTATTTATTTTATTATTATTATTATTTTTTGAGATGGAGTCTCGCTCTGTAGCCCAGGCTGGAGTGCAGTGGCCGGATCTCAGCTCACTGCAAGCTCCGCCTCCCGGGTTCACGCCATTCTCCGGCCTCAGCCTCCCGAGTAGCTGGGACTACAGGCGCCCGCCACCTCGCCCGGCTAGTTTTTTTGTATTTCTTAGTAGAGATGGGGTTTCACCGTGTTAGCCAGGATGGTCTCGATCTCCTGACCTCGTGATCCGCCCATCTCGGCCTCCCAAAATGCTGGGATTACAGGCTTGAGCCACCGCGCCCGGCCGGCTGTTGGCTTTTTATAGAATTTCCCCGTAGGTGGCTTTAAACTATTTTCACATGGCTCAAGTCCAGATTCCACTGCCACGCTCCACACTTTCACATATCCTGGCCTTCTTCTTTAGAATAAGATAACTCACCTCCTGTGTTCCCTCACCTATCCTCCTGACTACTTCAGTACCCCTTGTATCTTCACCTTCTCTTACTTTCTTTCTGATTCAGAGGAACCCCGACCTGTATTTTCTTTTTTTCTTTTTCTTTTTTTTTTTTTTGAGACGGAGTCTCGCTCTGTTGCCCAGGCTGGAGTGCAGTGGCGTGATCTCAGCTCACTGCAAGCTCCGCCTCCCGGGTTTACGCCATTCTCCTGCCTCAGCCTCCCGAGTAGCTGGGGCTACAGGCGCCCGCCACCTCACCCGGCTAGTTTTTTGTATTTTTTAGTAGAGACGGGGTTTCGCCGTGTTGGCCAGGATGGTCTCGATCTCCTGACCTCGTGATCCACCCGTCTCGGCCTCCCAAAGTGCTGGGATTACAGGCTTGAGCCACCGCACCCGGCCTGTATTTTCTTTTTTTTTTTTTTTTTTTTTGTTGAGACAGAGTCTCGCTCTGCCACCCAGGCTGGAGTGCAGTGGCCGGATCTCAGCTCACTGCAAGCTCCGCCTCCCGGGTTCACGCCATTCTCCTGCCTCAGCCTCCCGAGTAGCTGGGACTATAGGCGCCCGCCACCTCGCCCGGCTAGTTTTTTGTATTTTTAAAGTAGAGACGGGGTTTCACCATGTCAGCCAGGATGGTCTCGATCTCCTGACCTCGTGATCCGCCCGTCTCGGCCTCCCAAAGTGCTGGGATTACAGGCTTGAGCCACCGCGCCCGGCCTGTATTTTCAATTCAGTCTCTACTCACTTTCTGCAGCCACTTACTTTAATAACACACTCCAGCTTCCACCCCACTTCCCTACTCATCCACCTATCCACCTCTTCATCTTATCTACCCATCTTTACTCATTTACCCATCCATCCATCCACCTACCCATCTATTAATTCATCCATCCACCCATCCATTCCAACAACCTGTCCATTTATCCATCCACCCCATCCACCTATTCATCCATTCATCTATCCACCCACCCATCCATCCATCCACCAACCTATCCATCCATCCATCCACCCATCTACCTTTCCATCCATTTATCCATCCATTTATCCATCCATCCATCCATCCATCCTTCCACCCACCCACCCACCTACCCATTTGCCTGTTCATCCATCCATCCCATCTATTCATCCATCCATCCATCCATCCATCCATCCATCCATCCATCCATCCCTCTGCTCACCTACCCATTCACCTATCCATCTATCCATCTATCCATCCATCCATCCATCCATCCATCCATCCATCCATTCATCCACCTATCCATCCATCCACCTATCCATCCATCCACCTATCCATCCATCCATCCACCCACCCACACATCCATCCATCCATCCATCCATTCATCCACCTATCCATCCATCCACCTATCCATCCATCCACCCACCCACACATCCATCCATCCATCCATCCATCCATCCATCCATCCATCCATCCATCCATTCATCCATCTATCCATTACACCTATCCACTCATCCACTGACCCGTTCACACACCCATCTACCTACTTGTCCAGTCACTCAAACAGTATCTATTAATACTATGTGACAAGCCCTCTCCAGGGCCTCAGGCTGCAATGATGAGCAAGATGTCCATTGGGTGGGATAGACAAGGTAAAATGGCAATAACAACCCTCTTTTATCAATATCCTTATCCCCTCATGTTCTAGCTCTTTCTTCTCTGTCTACAAACATAAAGGAACTCATCCTGAAAGCGCCTACCTCTGTCACCTCCTTCAATTACTTTTCTCTTTTCTTCCTTTTACCAATTTTCTTTCAAGAATGTTCTATTTTCAGGCCGGGCATGGTGGCTCACATCTGTAATCCCAGCACTTTGGGAGGCCAAGGCAGGTGGATCACCTGAGGTCAGGAGTTCGAGACCAGCCTGACCAACATGGTAAAACCCTGTCTCTACTAAAAATACAAAATTAGCTGGGCGTGGTGGCACATGCCTGTAATCCCAGCTACTCAGGAGGCTGGGGCAGGATAATCATTTGAACCCGGAAGGCAGAGGTTGCAGTGAGCCGAGATTGTGCTACTGCACTCCAACCTGGGCAATAAGAGCAAAACTCTGTCTCAAAAAAAAAAAAAAAAAAAAAAGAAGGTTTTATTTTCACTATCTCTACTTCTGAACCATTTGCTTTTTGAAAAAACTTTAGGTACAACTTACATAAAGTGTACTAACCATAAGTGTACATGCAGTCCCATGAATTTTTATGTTTGCTTATACCCACTTACCAACTACCCAGAGCAAGATATAGAAAACCCTCATCATCCTAAAGGTTCCCTCATATGCCCTCCTTGTCAATACCACAGCCTCCTAAAGGTGAGCATTAGTGCGACTAACATCTCCATTGATTAATTTACATGAACGTACATAAATGGACTCGCTCGGTAAATACTCTTTCATGTTGGACTCCTTCAGCCACTTTGTTGCTTATAAAAGTTCCATTGTCTATAAGTATCACATTTATCTACTCTATTGTTAATGGACATAGGGTTGAAGTTATAAACAAAGCTGCTATAAACACTCTTTTTTATTTTTTTATTTTATATATATTTTTTTGACATGGAGTCTCTCTCTGTTGCTGAGGTTGGAGTGCAGTGGCATGGTCTTGGCTCACTACAATCTCCGCCTCCCGGGTTCCAGTGATTCTCGTGCCTCAGCCTCCTGAGTAGCTGGGATTACAGGCACACACCAGCACTCCCAGCTAATTTTTGTATTTTAGTATAGATGGTTTTCGCCATGTTGGCCAGAATGGTCTCGAACTCCTGACCTCAGGTGATTCACCTGCCTTGGCCTCCCAAAGCTCTGGGATTATAAGCACGAGCTACTACGCCTGGCCAAACATTCTTACACCTAGTTTTAGTGAACAAATATACTAATTTCTCTTGAGCACACACCAAAGTGGAATTACTGAAATATAGAATAGGTGCATTTTTACTTTTTATCAATTATCTGCCAAACAGTTACTTTTTTTTTTTTTTTTTTTTCTGACGGGGTCTCACTCTGTTGCCCAGGCTGGAGTGCAGTGGGGCTATTTCAGCTCACTGCAACCTCTGTCTGCCGGATTCAAACAATTCTCCTGACTCCGCCTTCTGAGTAGTTGGGATCACAGGATTGTGCCACCACGCCCAGCTAATTTTTGTATTTTCAGTAGAGACGAGGTTTCCCCATATTGGCCAGGCTGGTCTTGAACTCCTGACCTCAAATGATTTACCTGCCTCAGTTCCCAAAGTGTTGGGATTATGGGCGTGAGCCACCATGCCCAGCCTAAACAGTTACTTCTTAACGTTGCAGTTCTCTGCATTGGCTGCCCCTGAGAATTACCCGTGGGGCTCCACAAATAGTCATGTACCACAATAATGGACTGCATATAGGACAGAGGTCCTACGAAAGTATAATGGAGCTGGAAAATCCCCATCACCTAGTGATGCTGTAGCTGTCATCATGTCACAGCGCAACACATTACTCATGAGCTTGTGGGGATGCTGGTGCAAACCAACCCACGGCACTGCCAGTTGTGTAAAAGCACAACAGTACAATTCTGTTCGGTACATAATATTTGATAATAATGATAACTAACTGTCACTCATTTCCGTGTTTACTATATTATTTATAATTAGAGTGTATTCCTACTTATAAGAAAATGTAGAGGCCGGGTGTGGTGGCTCACGCCTGTAATCCCTGCACTTTGGGAGGCTGAGGCAGGCGGATCACGAGGTCAGGAGATCGAGACCATCCTGGACAACATGGTGAAACCACATCTCTACTAAAATACAAAAAATTAGCCAGGCACCGTGGTGGGCGCCTGTAATCCCAGCTACTTGGGAGACTGAGGCAGTAGAATCGCTTGAACCTGGGAGGCAGAGGTTGTAGTGAGCCAAGATTGCGCCACTGCACTCCAGCCTGGCAACAGAGCAGGACCCCATCTCAAAAAAAAAAAAAAAGAAAAGAAAAAAGAAAAGAAAATGTTACCTATAAAATAGCCTCAGGCAGGTCCTTCAGGAGGTAACCAGAAGAAGGCATTGTCATCATAGGAGATGACAGCTCCATGTTATTGCCCCTGAGGACCTTCCAGTGGGATGAGATGTGGAGGCGGGAGATAATGTCATTGACCATCCTGAGCCTGTGTCAGCCTAGGCTAATGTGTGCATTTACGTTTTTTTTTTTTTTTTTTGAGACGGAGTCTTGCTCCAGGCTGGAGTGCAGTGGCATGATCTTGGTTCGCTGCAACCTCTGCTTCCTGGGTTCAAGCAATTCTCCTGTCTCAGCCTCCCAAGTAGCTGGGATTACAGGTGCATGCCACCATGCCTGGCTAATTTTTGTATTTTTAGTAGAGACAGAGTTTTGCCATGTTGGCCAGGCTGGTCTCGAACTCTTGACCTCAGGTGACTTGCCTGCCTCGGCCTCTCAAAATGCTGGGATTACAGGCATAAGCCACAGTGCCTGACCTACATCGTAATTTTCAACAAAAAATTCAATGTAAATGAGAGTTTTGAAATTTTAAAACTAGAAAAAAGCTTATAGATTAAGAATATAAAGAAAGAAAATATTTCTGTACAGCTGTACAATGTGTTCGCATTTTAAGCTGCATTTTGTTACAAAAGCGTCAAAATTAAATTGTTTATAAATAAAAAGCTTGTAAATAAAAAAGTTACAGTAAGCTAAGGTTAGCTTATTATTGAAAAAAGAAAATTTAAAAAATAAATGTAGGGTAGCCTAAGTGTACAGTGTTTGTAAAGTCTACAATAGTGCACAGTCATGTCCTAGGCCTTCACACTCATTCACCACTCACTCGCTGACTCACCCAGAGCAACTTCCAGTCCTGCAAGCTTCATTCATGGTAAGTGCCCTATACAATGCACCATCTGTTTTTTTTGAGACAGAGTCTTGCTCTGACACTCAGGTTGGAGTGCAAGGCGCGATCTTGGCTCACTGCAACTTCCATCTCCCGGGTTCAAGCGATTCTCTTGCCTCAGCCTCCTGAGTAGCTGGGGTTACAGGCGTGTACCACCATGCATGGCTAATTTCTGTATTTTTAGTAGAGACAAGGTTTCACCGTGTTGGCCAGGCTGGCCTTGAACTCCTAACCTCGAGTGATCCACCCACCTTGGCCTCCCAAAGTGCTGGGATTATAGGCATGAGCCACGGCACCCAGCCCATTTTTTTCTTTTTATACCATATTTTTACTGTACCTTTTTAAAGTTTAGATACACAAAAGCTTATCATTGTGTTACAACTCCCACAGTATTCAGTAAAGTAACATGCTATACAGCTTTGTCACCTAGGATCAATAGGCCACACCATCTAACTGAAGTGGGCTTTGTGTATATACACTCCATGAGGTTCCCACAATGACAAAGTCACCTGATGACACGTTTCTCGGAACATATCCCCGTTGTTAAGCAATGTGTCACTATCTCTGGCTGCCTTCTGGATATTTTCTCTGAGTTCTTCCACTAATGTCATACAAATCAATAAGTCTGAAAACAAGTTCTATTTTTTTCCCCTTCAAGCCAGCTCCGCCTTGTGATTTTCCAGTTTTTATCAATGGCAATCAGGTCTCCTAATATATCCTGCTTTCCCCCTTTCTTTCATTTTCACTGTGTCTTCCCTGATTTGGCCCTGGCTGTTGTTCAGCTAAATGTGCACGACGGCCTCCTCACCGGTGCCCCTGCCGCATCCTCATCCTTTACCACAATGCCCACTACAATCCTGCACATGCCAGTCTGATGCACCAGTGCCCGGCAGAGCTTGCAGTGGCCCCCTGTGGCCTGTCATCCTGGCATCTAGGACTGGCCGCTCTCCCATCTCAGGCCCCTATCTTCCTCAACTTAAACTCACGTAAGCCAAATCATCCTTCACCAGCCTGCACAGGGGTCCCCATGAACCTGCTCTGACAGTGCCTTTGGGCCAGGTGACCTTATCCACACAGCAGGCAGTGGACCCTGCGGAAGAGGGTGTCCCATCCTGGGGGTCCCAGTCTCGTGGGTGACAGCAGTCCCAGATCTTCTCCTGTCCTCCCTGTTTTATTCTCTTCCTCTCCTGCTCAGTTCTGAAATTCACCCAGCTCTTGGCCTTCCTCTCCCACATCCAGTTCTTCACTTGCCCTTGAGCCCAGATGGGGCCCAGAACTCTTTCAGATGACACTTTGAGCTTGTGCTCCATTGCCCTAGGCTTCTAGCAGGCCTGGGTACTTCACTGCCCCAGCCGTTCAACCCTTGAACCCTGCCAGCGGCTGGCTTCCCTGATCCTTCCCTGCCCTGGCATTGTCATATTCTGGCTCTGGCTACAGCTAGTTGCATATTCGTCTTGTTTTTCCTACCGTGAAGTCCCTGGAGCAGACATCTTTGCTCTCCCACCACCTAGGAGAGTGCCTAACCCATAATAGTCCATCAGGAAATATCTTTGAACAAATGAATACATATTTTATGCATCTTTCCCCAAACACTGTTCCTTGGAAAACAAGTGGCCTAATAAGATATTAGTTGGTATTCCATGAATAACTGAGTTTGGCATACAGATTTCCTCATGGAGAACCACAATGCTCTTAGGCCCATAAAGGCTCTGATAAGTCCTGCAGCAAAGAAACCGGCTTAATGTTAATTTACTCAGCAGTTTAGCAAATATATATGATCATGGGACTTTTTAAAAAAATGATCTTCAGAACCCAGTTAAGGAAATAATACTTTAAAATCCTCTCAGCATCTTAGAGTACCTGGACAGAAGATAAATCACAAGGGTTATTTTCCCAGCTCAAAGCAGTGCACAACTGTGGCTGCCCACTTACTCTGTGACACAAATCAACATGCGCTTTCTAATTTTTTTCTTTCCTTTTTTTTTTTTGCCTAATGGATGAAGATGCTCTCTGTTCACCTTTTGGGAACAGACACGAGTGGGGACGAGATGGAGGGCAGGGGAGGTGTCTGTGAAGAGGACTCACCCCTGTCGCTTTCTGCTTGGTGTAGGCGTATTTGTCCCGAGTCAGTCTTTCAAAACGGTAGGTCGGGGCAAACGTGATTTCTTCCTCCTCTGAAACAGAGAGACTTCGGGTTCAATTCTGATTCCCCAGGTTTTGCATCTGCCCAATTTTCCCTATTCTCCTGGTAGGAAATCGGGGGAAAGGGGACGAAAGGATGGCTGGAAAGGCTCCAAGAGGAGAGGCTGCTGCTTTTTTTTTTTTTTTTTGAGACGGAGTCTCGCTTTGTCACCCAGGCTGGTGTGCAGTGGCGCGATCTCAGCTCACTGCCACCTCCACCTCCCAGGTTCACGCCATTCTCCTGCCTCAGCTGGGACTACAGGCGCCCGCCACCACGCCCGGCTAATTTTTTGTACTTTTTTTAGTAGAGGCGGGTTTTCACCATGTTAGCCAGGATGGTCTCGGTCTTCTGACCTCGCGATCCACCCGCCTCGGCCTCCCAAAGTGCTGGGATGACAGGCGTGAGCCACGGCGCCCGAGAGGCCGCTGCTCTTACCGAAGTGCAGGAAGACCTTCTGCTCTCTCCTCTCCGTGAGCAGCTGGTCGTGGGACAGGAGGTCTGCGTACTGCTGCTGCTTGATTTTCTGGATGATGGTTTCTGCCTCCTGGAACAAGAACATGCCCAGGCCTCTGGAGAGAAGCCCTGCTGATCCAGGCCTGGCAAGCTTCGGGGCTGGGGGCGGGCAGCTGGATGACACAGGCTGCAGAGTGATGGTGGCAGGGTGGCCGTGACAGTTATGGGAACCGGGCATGAGCACAGGGGAACCATGAGGAGCAGCTGAGGCTCAGTAACAGAAACAGTGTTGAGCCCCCAAGGGGAGCAGCCGCCTCAGCCCACTTAGCTCACATATCTCCATGACCACCTGCCCCGAGCTGACTCAAGGGATCCTCCATCTCCTGCAGCCCCAGCCCCAGGCGGGCAGCCCCTTACCCAGGTAGGCAGATCCACACGGTAGTTAAGATCCCCAAACCAGAAGAGGTGCGTGAAGCGGTGAGTGATGTTAAAGGGACTCAGCTTCTTGTCGCCCAGGGCCAGGAACCGGAGAATGCTCATATAGTTTTGGTTTCGCCTAATGCAAGGAAAAAGTGGCCATCTAGCACGGGGTCACTGGTTCCCCCTCCACTGTGGCAGGAAGTCACTCCTGCCATAGGTGGGGGGCGAGGAGCATAGCAGGTGGGGGGAAGGGAGACTTAGCCCTCCAGCCCTGCTGCAGCAGACCACCTTAGCGTGCAAATACGCTACAGCCAGGATGCAAAGGGCATTTGAGGCCACACTGGATGCACAGAGGGCAGGGGCCCAGGAGTAACAGCATCTGCACAGCAGAGAATCAGAACAGTGAGGATTCTAGATGGCTGTCTTCATTCCTGGGTCCCAGCTAGGCAAGATCAGCTTGGATTTGTAAGAAGGCCCCAGAGGAAACTTTCTGCTTTAGAAACAGTGCTAGTCGGGGGTCCATCAGGCTAATGACACAAGGAAATATCTTTTCTGACCTTCAGACAAAATTCCTCCACACGTGAGGTCACTATTGTGCTGCAATTGGCTTTAATGAGACTGTGGTGGGCCCTGAAAGGCCACAGGACACCCACAAGGTCAAAGGCAAGAGCTGAGCAGGTCCTTCTGATGCTTAGAGGAGTGAGGTGTGTCTGGGCAGATAACCCAAATGCATACTCTTGGGGGGAAGGAGTTCCATTACCTGAGTTTCTTTTCACTTCCTGAAGTCAAGTGGCTGTTGACGAACCCTAAGGAGGTTCCATTGAACATGAACGACACCCCCACGGCTCCCTTGTTCCCTACAACGAAGAGCAGAAAGAAGAATCAAAACATCAAACAGACACACTGCCAAGGGGCCAGAAATCACCCGGAGGCAGGGTGAGAGGGGCAGGTGAGTGAGGAGCTGGCAAGGGGAGGGCGAAACGGGGTCCTGCGGGGTGGGAGCCGCTGGGCAGAGAGCGGGAGATGAGAAAATGCAGGAGCAGCGCAGATGGCGGCAGCCTTGGGCTTCTCAGCGGGGCAGAGGAAGGCGGCTGCTGTGATCCTCCCCCGGCATCTCTCTCTGAAGTGACCAGGGTGCTAAGCGGCAGCCAGAAGCCCTGGGAAGATTCAGAAGGTTCTAGCCCGGGTGGGCTGATCTCCCTCCCAGCGAATTCAAGGTTCCTGGATAGACCAAAAGCCCACACTGAGATCACACCTTTTTCTGATCTGTTCTAGGTCAGTGGTTCCCAAAGGGAAACCTGGACCAGCAGCTGAACACCACCTGGGAACTTGTCAGAAGGACAGATTCTCAGCCCCGCCCCAGACACACTGAATCGGAAATCCTGGGATGGGGCCCAGTAATCTGTGTTTGACAAGCCCTCCAGGGTCAGCGGTGGGCAAATGCTGGCTCACTGCCAGCTACAAATGGTTTTACGTTTGTAAATGGTTGGAAACAAATCAAAAGAAAAACAGTCTTTTTGTGATTCATGAAAATATGAAATTCTAATTTCAGTGTTCATAAAGAACATGTTGCTGGAACACAGCCATGCCTATTCACTTCTGGATTGTCTGTAGCTGCTTTCAGACTACGATGGCAGAGCTGAAGCGTTGAGACAGTTACGTGGTCCACAGAGCCTAGAATATTCACCATCTGGCCTTCTACGGAAAACGTTTGTCAACCCCTGCTCTGGGTAATCCTGACACACGCAGCTGAGAACCTGCTCTGTCCAATACAGGCACAGGCCACGTGTGACTATCGAACACCTGAAATGTGGCTGGTACAAAATGAGACGGGTTGTGAGTGTAAAATACACATCAGAATTGTGGCCTTGGTAAGAAACACAGACTGTAAAATAGCAAATCACTTTTTACATTGAATATCTATTGAAATAATTGTATTTTGGATGTATGAAGTTCAAAAAAATCTATTATTGAAATTAATTCCACTTGTTTCCTTTTTAATGTGGCTACTTGAAAATTTGACCTATTGATTATAATAGATCAAATTGTAATCTATTTTGATCATAAATCTATTTATTTATGATCTATTTGGCTCCCATTTTCTTTTCTTTTTTGTTTTTTTGGAGACGGAGTCTCTGTCCCCAGGCTGGAGTGCAGCAGCACAATTTCTGCTCACTGCAACCTTCGTCTCCCGGGTTCAAGCAATTCTCCTGTCTCATCCTCCCGACAGCTGGGACTACAGGCACCCACCACCACACGCAGCTAATTTTTTGTATTTTAGTAGAGACAGGGTTCCACTGTGTTGCCCAGGTTGGTCTCAAACTCCTGAGCTCCAGCAATCTGCCTGCCTCCGCCTCCCAAAGTGCTAAGACTACAGGCGTGAGCCACCGTGCCCAGCCCCATTTTCTTTTGGTTGGACAGCTCTGGATAGGCCATAGGCTGAAGGGACCCCTGGATATCACCTGGCTGAGCATCCTCAGGACCCAGTGGGGGAGCACACAGGCTTTCTGCCCTCCAGCCCTCTCCACTGCACCTAGCTCTCCAGCCCTGCCCCTCTGCCCCCAAACTGGGAGGCCTCTTCTTTCCTTCCCAGAGGGTGACCTGGAACTGAGCAACTGGTTCCAGTCCCGACAGCCTGGTTTCAATCCCTGCCCACCACTTTCTTATCCCTGGGCCTTGGGCAAGTTATGGATCATCTCCATAGACTCTGTGTCTTCATCTGCAAATGGGAATAATAACGAGAGTCTCTGCCCGAGTATTTTGTTTGTTTGTTTGTTTTTGTTTTTTAAATTTGAGACAAAGTCTGTGTCACCCAGGCTGGAGTGCAGTGGCAAAATCGTTGCTTACTGTAGCCTTGACCTCCCAGACTTAGGTGATCCTCCCACCTCAGCCTCCTGAGTAGCTGGGCCCACAGGCATGCACTACCATGCCCAGTCTTTCTTTTTTTGGAGAGATGGTATCTTCCTATATTGCTCAGGCTGGTCTCAAACTTCTGGTCTCAGGAGATCCTCCCACCTTGGCCTCCCAAAGTGCTGGGATTACAGGCATGAGCCGTCGTGACTAGCAGGGTATTTATATTAAATGAGATGATACAAAGCATTTAGCACACAGCCTTGCTTAGGGCACACTCTTAGAGAGGCCTTGGTTGTTCTAAGGATTTTTTTTTTTTTTTGGAGATGGTATCTCATTCTGTCACCCAGGCTGGAGTGCAGTTTCACAATCTCAGCTCACTGCAACCTCCGCCTCCCGGGTTCAAGCGATTCTCCTGCCTCAGCCTCCCAGGCAGCTGGGATTACAGGTGCATGCCACCACACCCAGCTAATTTTTGTATTTTTAGTAGAGATGAGATTTCACCATGTTGGCCAGGCTGGTCTCAAACTCCTGACCTCAAGTGATCCACCTGCCTCGGCCTCCCAAGGTGCTGGGATTACAGGCGTGAGCCACTGCACCAGCCAGGACTAATGTTTTATCAGCCAACCAGCATTTGCTCTTCCTGTCCTGTGCTAATTATGGTGGGGAGCCATTTCAGGGGAGTGGAGGAGGGAGGCTGGCCCCAGGGCAGAGAGGAGGGGAAGGAGGGGAAGGTGGGGAAGGTGTGTGTGAGCTCCACAGCCCAGAAGCTGCCCTGCAATGGTCATAAAGCTGGGACTCTGGCCAGGCCTTTCTCCCCACCCCTCAGATGCCAGTCGCACTGCCCTTCTCAGGGAGGTCCCTGACCTCTGCCCTCTGCCCACGCCACACACTCCTTGGCCAGCGCGCTGCCTCCCCGGAACTGGCTTCTTTCCCTCCTATCTGCTCACGCAGTGTGTGTCAGGTCCACATGAGCAGAGCTCCTGCCTGCTCAGAAGCTGACCCAGTGCCCAGCCCCGAGGCCAGCATGACCAGGAACTGGGGCGGGAGTTTCAGGCAAGGTCTGGCTGAGGGGGTGGTTTTATGTGGCCCCAGGAGGTCCCAGCATATTCTGCACAGCGGGGCAGGGGCCGGTGGGAGAGGCTGGAAGCCCAGGGAGCGATGGAATCCACACCCAGGTGGTTCCCGGGCAGCAGGAGGGCGTGGGCGCAGCCAGGACAGCCTCGCCAGCCCCACCCTTCCACTGTGGCAGGAAGGAAGGGGGACGAGCGGGGGTGGACACGGGCAGTTTGCGGTTTGTCAGCAGAAAAGCTGAGAGAGCTTTGCACGTTCGATTGCAGCAATTCTTCCATTTCCTGTTATCTCTAGGACTCTGTCCTATTCCTGACTCCACTGACTCCAACCACCAAAAACCACTGGCCTCACCCCTGATGCCAGCCTGGGGGCCCTGTGTGTGTCCCACCCCACGTGCACACACGCGCACACACACATACACACACACACACAGAGGCTCTAGCACTTATGCACATGCACTCGGACACCCACCCTCACATACCTAGACTCTCATAAACACACTCACAAACACACACGCATGGACTCACACACACATAGACACACACTCATAGATATGGGGTGGTACACTCACACATGGACTCACATACATAGACTCACATAAACACACTCACAAACACACATGCATGAACTCACACACACACACTCATAGATACGGGGTGGTACACTCACCCATGGACTCACATACATAGACTCACATAAACACACACTCACAAACACATGCATGGACTCACACACACACTCACAGATATGGGTGGTACACTCACACATGGACTCACATACATAGACTATCATAAACACACACTCAAACACATGCATAGACTCACACACATAGACACACACTCATAGATATGGGGTGGTACGCTTACACATGGACTCACATAAACACGCTCACAAACACACATCCATAAACTCTCACATACCTACACAGGCTCACACACTCACATGCACGCTCTCATTCACACAAACTCACAGACACAGACCTACTCACACACACAGGCTTGCACCCCTACACTCATAAAGAGTTCTTGCCCTTGTTACTGCTCTCGGAAGCCAGAGACTCTCCACTGACACCAGCGTTTCCGGATCCAACCTGGTGTACAGGGACCGAGGGCGGGAGCCAGCCACCTCCCACCTGTGCTGGTAAGGAAGGTCTCACCGGAACACAGCCACTCCCATTCGCTTTCTGGGTTGACTATGGCTGCTTTCCCGCCAGAAAGGCAGAGAGTAGTGTTGACTGGCCTGCAGAGTCTGAAATACTTACTATCAGGCCCTTCCCTTTCCTGCAAAAGTTGGCCAATCCCTGTTTTAGGTTCTCGCTACCTAAAATGGGTCCCACGGGCTGACCAGCAGTGCTGAAGTCACCTGGGAACCTGTCAGAAACTTGGAACCCTGGGTTCCACCCAAGATCTACTGAGTCAGAACCTGCATTTTAGCTAGATCCCTAGGAGCGCTGGTGTAGACCCTGAGTGAGTTTCAGCCAGGGAGACCAACCACCCCTATTTGCTGAGGACTGAGCGGGGAGCTGAGAACATGAGACTCTGGAACTACTGGTGGGATCAGGATGGCATGGTCACGTGAGTTGAGGCAGAGGGTATGGGAGGAACACAGGGTCCCCGCCCTGCTCGCTCACCCAGTGTGTTTGCGATGCCTGTCTTCACGTTGTTAGTACAGATGTGGCTGATCCGGTTCTCGTGCTCAGGCTTGGCCAGCACCACGATGCGGATGTTCCAGAGCGTGTGGATGGCGACCTGGTGGGAGAACAACGTTGCAATACTCGGCCCTTAAGTGTAGGGTGTGAACCAGGGCACAGTGATTCACACCCAGCCCCAGTCCCAGCCCCTGGGTGTGGGGTACCCCGTCTGTAATCCCAACCCTTCGGGGGACTCCCAGCGATGTGTGATAGGTGAGACAAAGCATCCTAAAGATGAGAACCGGGGCTGACCAAGGGTGGGAAGATAGAGGACTCAGTGGTTTTCAGCAATACCCCACGGATCCCATTTATTTCTGAATATAGACGCACCTCTCAGGGGGGCCCCCAGACATCCTTGAAAACTGAGAGCTGATAGGCTGAGCCTGCCCTTGCCTCTGAGACAGCCCAGCTGTGCAAAGCTTCCGTCCCGGAACCCCACCCGGGGCACCACCAGCTGCTCACTGTTTTAAACGTCATGCTGGTGATTTCTTGCAGGGAGTGTTTGAGGATCTCCAGCCACTCCTTCTCACTCAGGGGGTCTTCCTGGGTGCCAATCACGTAAATGTCATGGGGGATGTAGTCGGCAGAGTCGTCCCGTGTCTTTCCCTGCCCCTTGGAGAGAAACCAGGACGTGATCTTCTTGGGAGGGGGGGCGTTACCTTCAACAGCAAAACCCAACACCAAGTGAGTCAAAGGCACATCGAGTCAAAGCATTAGGAGAATTCAAAACAGAGGGTGGGAGTGTGAGGGAGGTCACATCGTCACACAAGACCATTCAGGCAGTCCAAAGAAATGCCTGCGATGGAGGCCTGGGCGCCAACCTCACCCAGGGTGTCGGTGAGGGCTAGAGCTCAGTTAAGCCTCTTTTTAAACATAATGTTAAGTTTCAAGGTATAGAAACACCAGAAGATCCCCTGATGTCAGATGCTGTCCTGCATTTTGAGGCTACGATAATTGAGTTCTGTCTCTCAAGGAACTCACATCCTATTCTCAAGACAGCCAAGGGGACTGACAAGTTTTGGATGGTGATTTCTAACCCATTATTGGGAGACAACAAAGGCTCCCTTGCAAGGCAGATCCCAGCCCAGAGTGGAGAGATGCATGGGTGTGAGCCAGAGAAACTGGAGAGCATAGAAACTCCTCTGCATTCCCATTTCAAAACTGAGTTGAAGCAGCTCAATCAAGAAATTTTGAATGGTTCTCCCTGCAGTGCCCTTGAAGGATGAGCAATGTTTGTTCCTCAAAGAGATGAGTTTCTTGCCTTACAAGTGCAGAGAAGCCACGCATTGGAGTAAATGGACTGTGGCTCAACGTGGGTGCTCAAACTCCCGGGCTGGTGGGTCTCGGCCCTCCTGCAGCATAGCCTCAGCTTGCTCCTTCCACACTCTTGTGTGGGAAGGGCACCCCCTGCCTTTGTGTCAAGGACATCCTGGAGCTCTACTCCAGGGCTGCTGTGGCTCTGGGACACAAGTGACATGCTGCCACTTCACTTCCAAGAGGCCCCTGCCGGCCGCTGATCACCCTCTTCCTCCCAGACTCCTCTTGGGACAAAGGGTAAGGGACACGGGATGCCCAGTGAAATTCCAATTTCGGATAAACCGGTAGTTTCTAGAATAAGTTTATCTAGATGTCTTCTATCTAATTTATTTCTACCTGAACACTTACACTAAAAAATTATTTAGTATTATTTATATTTAGTAGCGTGCATATGTTTAGTATATAAATATACAGTATATATGTTTAATACAAAATATATTTAGCATATATTTAGTATATTATTAACTGTATGCTTAAACTAAATAATATTACTTAGTATAATTTATATTTAATATAATAATTACATTTATTTAGCATATGTTTATATACTATATATTTAGCATATGTATATACACTATATATTCAGCATAATGTCTATTTAGCATATATGTTCAGTATTTGTTTGTAGCTAAACATATACTGAAAAAATTTGTTTCTATGAAATTAAAATATAACGGGGCATCCTTTGTCTACCTACCTACTTATCTCTCTTTCTGTCTCTCTCCTGAGAAATCTGGCAACCCTGCTCAACGGTGGACTTCTTTCTTTCAGGCCTGGGGCCCCTTAGTGAGCTGCCTAGGGCTGGCGGGGTACCCATGAGCCTCTTCACCTAGATATTCAGACTCTTTCCCTACAACTTTCCAGTTTGGACACATAGAGTAACCTACCCCAGCTGCTGTTGGGGTACAATAGTCCCAAAGCTCATTTTTCTTACCCATCATCTCAGGAAAAGGGTGGAATTCCTTAGGAAGGAGGCTGTGCTGGTAGGCTGGGGGTTGGGGACAGGGCCCTGGGGCAGGAAGGAAGGGGACATGGATGTTGTCACTCCACCCCACCTTGAGGATGCCTGAGTCAGGGAAGCAGAAGCAGAGGGGGCAACTTCAGGGAGGGGGCACGCGGACCCACCCATGTTCCAGGTGCCGATGAAGATGGTGATCATGTCGGGCTCCGGCTGCTCTGAGTGCTTGTTCTTCATCTGCTGCAGTAGCTGGCAGAAGCCTTCTCTCTTCTAGGGATGGAAGGGCAGACAGACTTAGAAAGGCCTCTGCCTCCCTGCACATGACACTTTGCAAAGGACTTGGTCAGCTTCAAGAAAACTGAGAGGAGCGTAAATCAGTATGAAGTTCCAGGACAGCAACCTGGAAACATGCGTCCAAGTCGTAAGCGAGTGGTTTCTGGCCCAGACATTCCCCTGCAAGGCTGTGACTTTAATAAGGTAATCAGGAGCTGCACAGAGGTCCAACCCTGTCTCGGCTCTGCAGCACATGCCTCAGTACAGAAAAAAATCAGAAACAACCTTACTGTCCAGCCTTAGGAGATTCATTAATAACGTATTAGAGGGCCAGGCACGGAGGCTCACGCCTGCAATCCCAGCACTTTGGGAGGCCGAGGCGGGTGGATCACCTGAGGTCAGGAGTTCGAGACCAGTCTGACCAACACGGTGAAACCCCCATCTCTACTAAAAATACAAAATTAGCCAAGCGTGGTGGTGCACGCCTGTAATCCCAGCTACTCGGGAGGCTGAGGCAGAAGAATTGCTTGAACTCAGGAGGTGGAGGTTGCAGTGAGCCAAGATCGCATCATTACACCCCAGCCTGGGTGACAGAGCTAGATTCTGTCTCAAAAAAAAAAAAAAAAAAAGTATTATTGACCATCCATAAACTAGAATATCATAGTGTTTAACAAGTGTGATCCAGAACTATCTTGCCAACAAGGACAGATGGCCACAATATATATTGTTAAGTATGAAAATCTAGTTGACAAATGGTATGAATAGCATCACTGCATTTTTAAGAAAACATTTGGGCCTGGCACAGTGGCTCATGCCTATAATCCCAGCACTTTGGGAGGCTGAGGCAGAAGGAATCGTTTGAGCCCAGGAGTTTGAGACCAGTCTGGCAACATGGGGGAACCCTGCCTCTGCAAAAAATAAAAAAATTAGCCAGGTATGGTGGTGCATGCCTGTAGTCCCTCCCAACTTAGGAGGCTGAGGTGAGAGGATTACTTGAGGCCAGGAAGTTGAGGTTGCAGTGAGCCATGATCTTGCCACTGCACTCTAACCTGGGCAACTGGACAAGACCCTGTCTCAGAAAAGAAAAGAAAGAGAAAAAGAAAGAAAGAAGGGAACGAAGAAAGAAAGAAAGAGAAGATTAAAAAACATCTGGAAGGGGCATAGTCCCAGATTAACTCGTGGTATATGGGTGTTTTTATTTTAAACATTTGCTTGTTTGTGTTTGCCATGTCTTCACCAAGGAGAATAGATTACTTATGTAATGAAAGAAAATTTAAATTAAAGAAACTAATTAAAAAGAAGAGAAGACACGAAGGCTTTCATAGCCTCCTCAATATTTTTCGCCTATTTTTCTGGGGTACCCAGTGGGGTACCAAGCAGCCTCAGTTGGCCCTCTCTTAGCATGCAATCAACAGAGCAGGCTGACTTTAACAAAGCTACACAAAATTTCAGATTGTAACATATGACATGACCAGTGTTTGACTATTTCAACCTGCAAAGACAGAAATTTTACGTGATTCAACCTCATAATTGCAAATCTCAGTAAGTCCTCCCTGAAGACACCAGCTCACAAAGATGTCACAGTGACACCTTTACTGTAACCTGCCTCGAGTTGAGAGTGGCTCACGATTCATTGCCTCCATTTATTCCTGTGCCTCAGTCCTTGTGAGGTCACAGCAATGGGGCAGAGCTGGTGTTTGGACCTATGCCCAGGTGCTCAGAAAGCATTCCAGCCTGGCGGTCTTTCTCTCCATCTCCCACCACCTGCCTGGGCCTCATTCTCTTGTTTCTCCCAGACCCTTCCCTACTACTCCTGATGGCTCTGGACGCCTTAGACCTCCCACCAGCCCACCCCCGATGCTTTGGAGGTGAAAGTAGGAGCGGGGACTGGGCATTCAGTGGGGAGCTATCACTGTGGGCCTGCACCAGAAGCCCTTGTCCCTTGGCCTTGCTGGGGGTCCCTGATGTGAGATGTCAGCCAGCACCTGATGTGATGGACAACCTTATCGCTCTGCAATCTTTCCTTGCTCTGTCATTCAGGCTGGAGTGCAGTGGTGTGATCACAGCTCACTGCAGCCTCGAACAAGCAATCCTCCCACTTCAGCCTCCCAAGTAGCTGAAACTACAGGCTCATGCCACCACACCCAACTATTTTTTTTTTCTTCATAGAGATGGGGTCTCACCATGTTGCACTCTAGTCTTGAACTCTTGGTCTCAGGCAACCATCCCGCCTCAGCCTCCCAAAGTGCTGGGATTACGAGCATAAGGCACCCACCGTGCCTGGCCTAATTTTTTTGTTTTGTAGACATGGGGTCTCACTATGTTGTTCAGGCTGGTGCAATCCATTTTTACTGCTTCACATGAGCTGCACGGCAGAGAACAATGAATGAGGCCACGATGATGTGTTTTGGCCCCTGGTTCGAATTTCTGAGATGAGGGGTGAGGTCACAAAGAACCTACTCTGGGGGCACAGAGGCCCAGCCTGGGTTTCCCCAGTGGCCCACAGCACCTCTTGCCCCAGGAACCCGTCCTGGCAGGGGCATCTTTCTTCTGCAGAGTTGGGCAAAGTATTGAAATGAGTCTCTGGGTTGGAGCTCCAGTCGAGACTCAGATTTAAATCCAGGGGTGGCTCACATCTATAATCCCAGCACTTTGGGTGGTGGAGGCTGGAAGATTGCCTGAGCCCAGGAGTTCGAGACCAGCCTGGGAAACACAGCAAGACTCTGTCTCTACAAAATATAAAAAATTAGCTGTTGGTGTGTGTCTGTGGTCTCAGCTACTCAGGAGGCTGAGGTGGGTCAGGGGATCCCTTGAGCCCAGGAGGTGGAGGTTGCCGTTAGCTGTGATCATGCCACTGCAGTAGCCTAGATGATAAAGCAAGACTCTGTCGCAAGTCAGTTAATCAATCAATCAATCAATCCATCCATCCATCCATCCATCCATCCATCCATCCATCCATCCATCCAGGAGTGTCCCAAAAGTTTCCCAAGCCCAGCCCAGGGAAGCTAAAAGCCTTCCCTCCAGGTGTGGGGCTGAGTTAGATGTGGGTGATAAAGGATGTGGCCTCGAGGCTGGGAGGCAGCTGAGCGAAGTGGGAAGCCTCCCTGCTCCTGAGACGGTGACAGCTCAAATCCAGGCCGACCTGGAACATGGTCCTCAACTTCTCTAAGTTCACCTTTCCCAGGTATGAAATGGGTTGTTCTGGGAACTGAGTGAGCTAATGATGCACACTCCCTGGCACACAGCGAGCCTCAAAACGCATGTGTCCCCTCCCTACCTCACAGCCCATTTTAGAAGTTTGCTGTCACTTACTTTGGAGTCAGCAAAAACATATTCCTTCCGCAGGATCTTCTCCTTCTCTGTTTCCACCAAGATCACCAACTTATTCAGAAATTTCTGTGACTTAATGAGCTGCAGGACTTAAGAGAAAAGAAATTCATTAATTCATTCATCCACTCATTCAACCAATATGAACAGTCTCCATCATGTTCCAGGCACCTGACTATCAACTCCCATCCCTCAGCTGAGCCCAAGTTTGTGTCTGGTCTCCTAGCTCCCTCTGCTTCCAGCTGCTCTTCCCAAGAGAGGCTCATGCTTGGGGAGGGTGAGGTCTGGAACAAGCAAGAGTTGGCCTGGCCAGAGCAGAGACAGCATGATCGTCTTTTCATCTTTTTCCCTGCCTCGTTCCTTCCCCTCTCTCTTCTTCCTTCTCCTCTTCTTCTTCCTCTTCTCCCTCCCTCCTTTCTTTCTTACTCTTCCTCCTTTCCTTCTTTTGCTTTGCTTTTAATTTACATCTAAATTTGATTTTACATTTTACTGTCATCAACAATTAAAAGAGTCAAGTTGTTCTATAGGTTTTTGCAAACAATAGTCCCCCGCAACCCAACCTCCCTTCAATGTCCAGCTCCCTGTAGGCAACCAATTTCAACTCTCTTAATGGATTCTTTTGGAATTTTACTGTTTCTTGAAAAAAAAAATGCTTAAATTGCTACTTTCTAATGTTTCAGTTTTCATTATGTCCTAATACATTTTTGACTGTCCACTATGGCAGATGAAGGTTTAACTTTCTTTCACACACACAACCTGCTTCCCAGCCTTGACTCCCTGCCAATGCATAATTTCAGTCCCCACATCATCCTTCTAACAATTATATCATAATTTTGGCCAGATAAGTACTCAGTGTTTGTTATTCTGATTATAGAAATGCTATTGACAGACCAGCCCTGATTGTTTCTCTTTTTCTAGACAACTTTTTGTTATTCCTGGAGTTAGTAATTGCCATACTTTTTTTATGGTTTCTAATTCTTCCCCAGTTTGTAACTCTCTTTTCCATGTGACCAAATACTTTCATCAGTTTCTTTGTCCTGAGGGAGCCTCTCCCAGAGCCTCTGGGTCTTCTCTGGACTGGTGACCTCTAGGCCTGAGGCACAGCCTTTCCCTTGGGGCCTTCATAATCCAGGAATACATTTATTTCTCTCTCTCTCTCTCTCTCTTTCATATTAAATCCCATTTCTTGGACCCCATGTCTTCCTCTTCTTGATTTACACCCTCATTTTGGCAGAGCAACATCTCTAGTAGCTTTCCAAGAAAGGAAGAATGGGTGATACATTTTTAGAGGCCTTGTGTGTCTGAAAATTCGACCCTCACACTTAACTGACAGAACTCCAAATTTGAAATAATTATCCCCCAGACTCTGGAACCTTGTTTCGGGATTGCTGGAGAAACAATGCTGTTCTGATTCTCTTGTTCAGAAAAGAGTTAGGACAGCAGGTCTGAGACTGCTGTCCTTGGAAGGGCTTGCTTGAAAGGTTGGCTTTTTGCTGTCATCTGGGAACTTAAATTTCGGAAGGGCTCCCACCATTCCCAGAGCTGATGAGTGGCTTGCTGTGCCTTACATTGTTTGTACAAACAAGATGGTTTATGCTGAGCACCTGTTTTCCTTTGGGGAGTCTGGAATCTGGGTACCTGCCAGGTAGAGGGTGTCTACGTGACCAGTCCCCAGTTAACAACCACATTTCACACATGTTGTCACACCTCACTGGGGGAGGAGGGAAGTGTGTCCTATGTGACTCCACAGAAGAGTTGAGCCACTCCTAATGGTGGCTCACTGTACTTGGAAGGAAGCGTGGGCCGGGCGCGGTGGCTCATGCCTGTAATCCTAGCACTTTGGGAGGCTGAGGCGGATGGATTGCCTGAGCTCAAGAGTTCAAGACCAGCCTGGGCAACATGGTGAAACCCTGTCTCTACTAAAATACAAAACAAAAAATCAGCCAGGCATGGTGGTGGGTGCCTGTAGTCCCAGCTACTCAGGAGGCTGAGGCAGGAGAATTGCTTGAACCTGGGAGGCAGAGGTTGCAGTGAGCCAAGATTGTGCCACTGCATTCCAGCCTGGCGACAGAGTGAGACTCCATCTCAAATAAAAAAAGAAGAAGGAAGCGTGAACCTGGCACTCTGGCTCAGCACACCCACACACCTGGCCCCTGCCCAGTCTCAGCCTTGTCTGAGCCCCAGCCGCCTAGCCATCTCACCAGCCACACTGGCTCCTGTCTTGGAACTGTGCCCAATGGCCCCTTTCCCTGGTTTGGGCACAGTCAACATCTTCCTAACACTCAGACTCTTAGAAGCTTGTGCCTGGTTTCTTCCAGACTTCACCCCACGCTTGTGTCTTTTCCCGCGGCTGATTTTGCTCTGTATCCTTTCAATGTAATACGTCAGATCTGTGAAGATGATCGCCGGCTGGGTCCTGCGAATTCTCTGAGGGAATCACAGAACCTGGGGGTGGTCTTGTGGGGCCCCTGACACAGGGTGTAATCTGTCTTTTGCTCTGAACATTTTTAGGCTCTTTTCCTGGAGCCCAGCGCTGTGAGACTTTCCGGGGTTGTGTGGGCCTCCTGTGTTGTGTGAGCACTTGGCCATTTTCAACCTGGAGGCAAGTGTTACTCTGTTCTAAGACTCTTTCCTGAATTCTTTAATAAATTTTCTCACTCTGTTTTCTCTTACTGACACTTATTATTTTGAATTGGGCCTCCTGAACTGGTGTTCTTCTTCTTTTTTTTTTTTTTTGAGATGGAGTCTTGCTCTGTTGCCCAGGCTGGAGTGCAGTCGTGGATCTTGGCTCAATGCAACCTTTGCCTCCTGGGTTCAAGCAATTCTCCTGCCTCAGCCTCCTGAGTAGCTGGGATCACAGGTGTACGCCACTACACCCGTCTAATTTTGTATTTTTAGTAGAGATGGGGTTTTACCATGTTGGCCAGGCTGGTCTTGAACTCCCAACCTCAAGTGTTCCACCTGCTTCGGCCTCCCAAAGCACTGGGATTACAGGTGTGAGTCATTGCACCCAGCCCTGAACTGGTCTTTTAAATTGTAAAAATCTTGCCTCTCCTATTTGCCATCACTTTTTCCTTTTGTTTTGCCTTTTGGGAACTTTTGTGAACTGTATATTTCTACCCTTCCATTGGGTTCTTATCTTTTTTAATTACTGCTATAATTTTTTTTATTGCCCCAGAGTTGTCCTTCCTTTCACTTTCCCCTTCTTCCCCCTTCTCTCTTCCTCCTCCTCTTTTTTAACTTCCATTTTATTCTCTTACTATTCCTTTCTAGATATAATTCTGTTATTCCACAGGCCCATTTCTTTTTAACTATATAATTTGATCCCTCTGAGGCTGGGTGCAGTGGCTCACGCCTGCAATCCCGGTGTGGCAGGCCAGGCCTCCCTCACGCAGGCCTCCATAACAACTGTTTCAGTACCGGCTGAGTGGTTAAGTTAAATATTAAAAGCCAGTGCCCTTATGCAAAGGCTGGAATGTACCAAAAGCCCATCAAAAGCTTTGCCTAGGCAAGGAATTCTTAACAGGACCCATTTAGGATTTAACAAGTTTTTTGGAGGTCTGAAGGAACTCCACAAACCTCCGTGATGTAGCAGGAGATAAGATAAGGGTAATCACCCCAGCACCTGGACCCATTTAGATGAAGTAAATTTATTGATGCTCCAGAGGAAGGTCTTCAGGACTCAGACCTTAGTTATAAATTAAAAGAAGTTAGTCACTTCTTTTAATTTATATAATGTATAAATTATATGTATACATGTATAAATCTTTCGATGAATACACACTTACATATAGACATACAGCTGAGAAGGTATATAAGCTCTGTAAAACTTTGTAATTTGGAGTCGGTCTGGTGATAATTTCCAGGCCTTCTCCCTGTAACCAGTTACAGAAAATAAAAACTCTCTTCCTCAGTAACAAGATGTTCATCTGCATCTTGTTATTGGGCCACAAGGAATAGCAGCCCGACCCTATTTGGTCCAGGAACACCAGCACTTCGGGAGGCCGAGGCAGGCAGATCATCTGAGCTCAGGAGTTTGAGAGCAGCCTGGCCAACATGGTGAAACCTCATCTCTACTAAAAATACAAAAATTAGCCAGGTGTGGTGGTGCATGCCTATAGTCCCAGCTACCTGGGAGGCTGAGGCACGAGAATCACCTGAACCCGGGAGACGGAGGTTGCTATGAGCTGAGATCGCACCATCGCACTCCAGCCTGGGCCACAAGAGTGAAACTCAGTCTCAAAAAAAAAAAAAAAAAAAAGATTTTGATCCCTCCAAGTGTTTTGTCTTTGTGTCCCCTGTCTCCTGTCCCCAGCTTCCCTCCAGTGTCTGGTGATCCTTGGCTGTATCTGTGTCCAACAGTGAGGTGGGGCGTGTCGAGCAGGGCTTCTCCACAGGGTAGTCTGATGGGCTGAATCCTGGGGAAACTGCGTGATGGCAACACCTTTCTGTATTTGCCCCTGGGCTGATCAAGGTTCCCCGAGAAGACTTCTAACTCCTGCCTGGGGAGGGTGGGGCTGAGCCAGCCGCATCCTGGGAGCTGGGCAGGGAAGAAGGCTGTGGTCTCAGCACTCAGCAAGTGACCGTCCCTTAGTCCTCTGTTTTTGGTAGGTTCTCCTGCCTGCAGCAGGCCTGGCATCTCCCAGCCCTTCACCTTCTCCAAAGAAGAATATCCAATCTTCTGCCAAAGGAATGAGGAGGAGCCACTGGCTACACAGAGTGGAGGGGGATTCTGTTGGGCTGAACTCTCTTTAAACAGACTTCCATCTGATCCTGCTCCGTATAACCCCACCTTCACCCCACTTCTTGGGGTCCCCGAGGCTCTTAGCTCCTGAGCCCTTTGTGGGTTTTGTGTGAGTCAGTGTCTCCGTTTTTCCTTCCACCTGCTTAGGGTTTCGTTTTTTGGTTCCTATAAGTGACTCTTGCTATCCATCTCGTTTCCGGCTTTCAGAACGTTGTTGCTTTCCCGTTCTCTCTTTCCCTATGGGTTTTGCCTTCCAGAAGGAAGATGGTGACAGAGCAAGCAAGCATTCAACCATCACTTTGAGCTGGAAGCCTCCCCAAAGGGAAATCACATCAGCCTCGTCTGCAC